AAATCATATAGATAAATACAGACAGAAAAAAAAATAGATTTTTAATGGAAAAAAATATATGAATCGTCTTCAATATGACGTCTTTAATAGGCCCAAAATGTAAGGCACTATAAACGTCCATCATTAGTCAACGATGTTATAGACTAAAAATGTCTAGAAATGGATGTCGATATAACGTCAATATGACATCACTCTCCTACTTGAGATATTTTGTAACAATGAATATAGGAATAAATAGATGAAATTATAACTTTGCCACCTTCCTAAAACACACATACGTAAAAATGTATTTAAATATAAATGCATGTAATATGTGCTATTTTAATTTAACAGTATCAAAAAAGATTCTTTATTTTTTATGTATTCAACATTTAATTGATATTACAAATTTAATAATAAACATGCTCTTGTGTGCATACACATATCGATGTAAGAAATTCATCAATGTAATAATAATATATATAGTATAATATGTACAATTTAATTTATTTTTGTCAGTTTAACGTATATATCTTCATTTGGCGTTACGATAAATGCCCGAGTAATAGATCTGAATGAAGTTACAGTCTTTTCGCAAACATCGAGTTTGTAATTTCGCAAAATACCAATGAGCCCAAGTTTGGTTTGAAGAATGCCCATTCGTTCACCTGCAAAATATTATCAGTTTAAATTTTATTTTCGAAATTTCTTTTCAACATAAGTAGCTTTTATTATATGGCTATTATCATGTGTTCTGGTAGTAGTAAATATAAATATTTTATCTATACATATGTGTGTACAATAATTTACAATTGTGTACTTTTGTGCTTTCTATTTATGTATAGTATACCTCTTTTTATATTCTGAGTATTAAATTCACCTACCGATGCAATTTCTTGGTCCATATCCGAACGGAAAGTAATGCATTGGGTTTTTGGTTTGCGAAATCTCATTGATGAATCTCTCTGGATCATAAACTTCTGGTTGAGGGAATATTTTTGGATCGTGATGAAATGCATGAAGAGGTATTAGGACCTTCTGCTTCTTCGGCACAGTTATATTAGTATTTTTGAAAGTATAGTTTGATAACACTTCTCGTTGCATTGAATCTGCTGGCGGATATTTTCGCAAGGTCTCTAAAAATAAAATGATCTTTACAAAAAGCATCAAATCAATTAACGTATCATCAGTTGCGCTACAGTATCATGATTTATAAAATTGTTTAAGTATATTCCCTGATATTTTTTATTAGAATAAGAACAATATAAAAAAAGAATATCCCAATAAGAATTATTATATTATGTAATTGTGTTGGTTATTATTACGCTGTTATTTGCATTCTAACAACCAACAAAATCATGTAACATAATAATTTTAGTTATTCATTATTTATTTATATCAGTAGTGTATCCTGTAAATTTAAATATTACTATGTTTACCTTTAAAAACTGCATTTAAATAAGGCATTGCGTTTATATCGTCATATTGTAGTTGACCATTATTTTTCGCATACGTGTCCAGTATCTCTTTTTGTAATTTATCTTGAATATTTGGATGTAAAGCTAGTTCATATAATGTATTACGTATCGTCGCTGCAGTGGTCTCATAGCCTGCATAGAGAAACCCCAACATTTGCGTACGCAGAAACTCATCCATTACATCTGAGCCTAAACATGTACATGAATGTTTACTTTATTATGTTCTACTTCTTTTTCTTAAAATAAATTATATATACTAATTAAAGTTCCTTTTTTATTCCATGATTCTTTTATAAGATTTTTTAAATTTGTGAACAGTTGCATTCGGTTATCATAATAATTCAATTTCAACTCAGATTGGTATTTTTTTACACGTAACACTTATGTTAACATATTAAATATATATATATACATATGTGTGCGTGCGTGCGTGCGTGCTTGCGTGCGATCGTGCGTGTGTGCGTGCGTGTATATGTGTGTGCGTGTGTGTGTCGATTTGATTAAAGTATAAAAAAGTTTTTACCAATGAACTCGGAGAGTTTTCCAGGATTTTTCTTTAATTCCATCAGCAAACCTAATATGTCAGCTTTAACGATAGCGTGTTTTTTTCTATATTTTATGATATCGGAAATAAAATTGAAAAACGGTGGTGTTACTTTATTATTGCTGCTGAGCAAGTAATCAATCCATTTGTACAATCGTGGACATATGTCTATCATTACTGTTTTTATTAGCGTACCCCAATATGTGCCACAAGCATTATCAGTATATTTTAAAAAATCATTTTCTTCATAATTTTCTCTCGTTAAGGTCCTCATATTAATACTCATAAGATTAATGCCGGTCATGTCAGCAGTTAATCTTGCCGCTATATTGCCACAATTTATTATGTTATTATTCTTCGATAGTAATTCTTCTAGATAATTGTCCAAGCGTTCCAGAGATTCTAGCATCATATGACATAATTCTTTAAGTTTGCTGGGTGTAAAAGCCGACGATACTTTCGACCTAATGATATGTGCCACTGGTACATTCGCATGAAAAAGGAACTGTTTCAATGGCTCCTCCTGCGAAGATACCAATTTATTCACTTAAGTGACGCAATAAAGAAATGTGATGATGATTATTATTATAACGGATACATACTTGTAGGGAACTGTTTAAACCTCGGTTAGGAAATAACGCAGAATCCTTAATAAAAACATCTTTTATATGTTCTGGATCTTTTATGATCAAAATCGGTTCCCTTATGTGAAATATTCCTATGAACGATGCATCCTCATAAGCATCGTATACATTCTTTAGGTAATTCCCGAGTGATGTTCTCTTAAGTATAACCTCCTTCATCGTACCGAAAAATATTGTGGGTGGAGGTCCAGGTATATTGTATTTTTTCCAAAAATTGTAAGTCGCAGTTAAGTAGTAATAGAGCAGGCAAATAATTGACCCGCATAGAATTCCAACGATTCCTAACATTTTGAGCCTGTTATCGAACGTGAACATTTATTATAAATTTCGCCTTTAAATCTTTTGTGTCAAAAATATTTATAATTGTTTACTTTTAAATCTAACATTGTATGAGATGCGTACTTTTGTATACACTATAAAATTTTAGAAATTGTAACATTTCTCAAAAATTTTGTAATTATATCCTGTATTTGTGTGATATTTAATATATTTACAATTTGGTATACTTACGCTTAAAAAAAGTTGTTATGTTCTCGCATTAAAATCTAAAACAACTGTGAACACACTTCTTCTTGTCTTACTTTACGTTTATAGGGCAAGTTTTGTAAACGTATGACTAAGTAAACGACATGGTTATGTAAGAGAGATATTCGTCTAAATAACAAATAAAAATGCACATACAATTATAAAAATAAGATATATGCAATATATGTCTTTTTACATTTTTGAGAACATTATTTTGATTCAAGAAATAATAATGCTGAATAAATTTTCGGAAAAATATCATCTTAGACAGCGATTAACACATCTATTGCATTAAGAATAATCGAGTAAGATATATTTTCCACTAAGTTACGTAAATAGTGCATGCATATCAGACATGCCAGAAAGAATATTTAAATTTGTAGCTTTGCTATGGTAATATATGACGAACTCAGCATATTCACTGTGCCATTGCTATAAATGCCAGATAATATTCAACAAGTAAAGTTTAAACAAAAGATGTTCGTTAGATATGTATGCAATATTTTTAACTTATATTAAAATGTATTGACGCATAAAGAATTCCTACTAACATGTACATATGTGCATATGCAGTGGGTGCAAAAAATATTCGTACAGGAGAGGTCAAAACAGGTCTTCAAAAAACTATATTCGTAGAAAAATGAGCTTTAATCAATACTTCATTAATAATAGACATAATCGATGATATAAATTTTCGTAATTATTACAACAAACAGTTTATAATAGTTTATAACAAACAATTTTACAATTGATATATATTGTCACAAAAGCCATCTAAGAAAGAAATGTCAATAGGACGACATATATTTTGATCGTGAATGAACCAAGTAGACGTCATAAGTTGGGCATTAGTAGACGACGATAATGGACGATAACGTCGATATATCACATCCACTAGGTGTCATTCATGAGAAATTTTCTATTTCATAAGAAATGTGTGTTTTTTATTTTCGTCAATTATTAATTTTTTTGTAGGAAATGCGAATGTTATTTCTAAAATGTATTTATATTATTCGTAAAATAAACAGCTACCTTATAATATTCCTAGTATATTCTTAGAATATTATAAGAATATTATTCCTAGAATATTATAAGAATATTATTAAATGTTCAAATAATATTCTTACAATATTCTAAGAGTATCATGTAATATTGTTTATTATTATAAAAAGGTTCTATTCATGTTATATATCTACTTCACATAATATTTTTGGCATATTATAAAAATGTCCTTAGAATATAAAAAAAAAGAAGTAATAATATAAAAATTATAAACATGAAAAGTATATATATGTACAGGGACTTTCAAAAGTTTGGAAACGGTCAAATAACTAGTCAGGGATTGCATTTATAAAACAAAATGTTGTGGAGGAAAGTTCTTAGGTTCTAAAAAGTCTATCTGATTGATGAGGCATATTCAACCGCCTCTTGCCTTTGGAGGATCTGGATATAGTGAGGCCCAAATTTGGGGCTTGACCTAACTTTAGAGCTTGACCTAAGCTACATATTTAAGAAACGAAAAATCGTCAGAAACACGAATCAGCCATAAAAAAGTGATATTGCCATTTAAGAAAATCTACTTGGTTTTCATACCGCCGAGGTACGATGAAGGAGGTTCTACTTGGAAGAACATTAGTCGAGAAGTACCTGAAGAATATATACGATGCTTATGAGGGTGCACCGTTCGTAGGAATATTTCACAAGGGAACCGATTTTGATCATAAAAGATCCTGAATATATAAAGGATGTTCTCATTAGGGATTCTGCGTTATTTTCTAGCCGAGGTATACCCGGTTTCGCACATTGTAAGATATACATACTTTTGTGTACATTATGAGATTCGAAAAATTGTAACACCTTTCTAAAATTTTATAATTAAAATTTTCTTTCAGCCGTTTATTCTACGTAGATACGGAATTATTAGCTACATATATTCACAAGTATTTTTAATAAAACTTGGGTCATATTATTATTCTTTAAATAAAAATCACAAATGAAGAGTAGAGTAATACGGAGCTCGCTTTTTTATTAAAACTTATATATTAAGAAATGTATTATTATATCCTGCATTTGTGTGATATTACAGTTTGATATATTTACACTTAAAAACAATGTTATAATTTTTCCGCATTAAAGTCGCAAACAACTGATACACTTCTACTGCCTGTCCTTATATTTATACTTTATATTAATACGTAACCCACAAAAATTAGTGAACTTTATCAAGACATCAATACATAACTCAAGAAGCACAGTTAGAGTCCACGGACAACCCAAAGCGGAATTTCAAGTCAACAAGGAACTTAGACAAGGCGACGATCTTACACTAATGTTATTCAATTCTAGCATTGGAGGGGATGATAAGAAAGATGGACGTGGACATAAATGGCAATCTACTCCATAAATAAACGCAGCTAGCGGCATATGCAGACGACATAAATTTCCTAGTTAGGTTATCAATACATTTAAAAGAAATGTTTGTAAAATTAGAAAATGCAGCAAAGGACGCAGCCTACAGATAAACGAAGATAAAACAAAGATTCTGATCCAAAGCAGACAGCCAAAAAGAACCACCCAAAATATAGAAATGCATAATTACAATTTTGAAAGGGTTAAAGAGTACTTGGGATCTATCTTAACATCAGAAAATGATGAAACGGAGGATATAAAGAAAAGAATCAAAGCGGCAAATAGAGCTTATTTCTCGCTGAGACCAGTACTGAGATCAAGAAATGTACCCATAAAAACAAAGGTCGTACTTTACAAAATATTAATAGCAGTGTCGTCACATACGGATCAGAAACCTGGATTATGACACAGAAAACAGAATGCGTTGGACGCATTCGGAAGGAAAATATTAAGAGGAATATATGGGCCAGGAATTAGGAATTGGACAGCATGCCGCGGACCGAAATATCTGGAGGACAAAACTGAGGGAGGCCCTCGCTCGATATGAGCTGTAGCGCCATTGAATAATAATAATTTATACGTAACGTTTGACTAAATAAATGATATAGTTATGTAAAAAAGATAGTCGGTTGGAAAACGGGTAAAAATATTCATATATATATTTATATACATACATATACATGCATACATACATACATAAATTTATTATTAACTAATACATTAAAACATGTTTGATGTCTTAATGTATTAGTTAATGTATTGATAAAAATATATTATATACAATATATAACACTAAAGCACTAATAACATGTCTGTATATAATGTAAAATTACGTTTAATGTGCTTTTCAAAATATTCTATTTAATATAATAATTTACTGCGAATTAAATGTTTACATAACGTTATTATTGCAAAGCGTTTTTGACGTGTTAAAAATTAATATCATTAAGTACACGTCACTTATAGACGGTCGGTCAACGACCGATACGTACAAAACGATTGAAACACTTTTTTTCCGATGAGTTTCACAATGCATCTCATATCCAATAGGAAAATATATCTCCTGAGAATTAGTAGAAAACGAATTCTTTTATTGGACACGGGATGCGTTTCGAAACTTATAAAAAAAAAACAGTGTTGCAACCTTTTTGTGACTGACTGGACATATGACGTCAGTGACCAATTGTGATCATACATTGACATATGTTAAAATAACGATAAGTAGCAACAATTTTGAATTTGTAAAATGAATATATATATAATATTCCCCATTCAGGTTGATCCTTTCTACCTACACATAAAGCGCTGTCCCAAGACGTACCCGAATATCCTATATATATATATATATATAATTTTCGTTGTTGCAACATATCGCTGCAATATTGAGAATTCTTCTATTATATTAAATAATTAACAAAATATATTTTACAACCGTAGAACACAAGGTCCATTGGAAGTTATAGTGCAACCAAAAGAGGAAACGATCTCCCGTATAAAAATAAATTAAATGTTGTATAATAAAATCCTTTTCTGTCCAATCGGGTTTTTAAAATCAATAGCTTTCTCCACACGTTTTTCTCGCTCCTTTTTGGCACTTACTCTCTGAGAAAAGTTTGCGGTGAGCTTAAAATAAGCTCAATTAACTTTGGTTAATTTTAAGTATATCCCATCCTTTGGCGCTAATAGAAGCGTGTTGGGATCTATTACATAAGGTTGCGTTTTCTCGCATGTCTCGACTTTGTAATTTCGCAGCATCTTGATAAGTCCGATTTTGGTCTGATAAACTGCAAAGCGCGAACCTGAAATTGTAAAACGGTTCTTACTTAATGAAAGTGTCGAAACAGGAAGATATTTCAGCTAATAAAAAAATGTTTGAAAAATGAAAAAATAATATTTAAAAGTCTATTTCAACCGTACCGATGCAATTCCTGGGACCATCACCGAAAGACAAGAATGTCATTGGGTGTCTTTTCTGCTTAGCTTCCTCGCTAAACCTCTCTGGATCGAAAACGTCCGGCTCTGAGTAGATATCTGGATCTCGTTGAATTGCGTAAGCCGGAATCCACACCCTAATACCTTTCGGTATTGTAACTTTGGTACCGGAGAAAGTGTAATCCGACGTTGCTTTTCTCATGATAAATGTCACTGGCGGATATTTTCGTAAAGTTTCTATACATATCAAAATCGATAATAAGATGAGTCATTGAAATACGCTCATAACATTACACTAAAAACGATTGCGATTCATTTTAAATTTGCTAAGATTGCGATGCACAAAGTCATTGAGAATGAACGATGTATCTCCATTTCATATGTCTTTCGAACGACGTACCTTTGAAAACTTTATCTAAGTAGCTCATCTTCTTGATGTTATCATACGTTAATTCGTCATTGACTTTCGCATATTCCTGACGAATCTCGTCGCGTAGTTTGTCTTGTACTTTCTGATCCAGCGCTAACTCATAAAGCGCGTTGCTCATGGTCGTCGATGAAGTTTCAAAACCGGCGATAAAGAACACAAATGCTTGAGACGTCAATAAACTGTCGGTCACTTCTGTAATATCATAATAACAATATCATTTATTTATTGGAAAAACTTTTTAGTTACGAGCTAATCAATAATTAATAATAAAAATTGCTAACACCAATTTCTGTCCTGCAATTTGTCGTTTAACGATAATAGAAAAATTGATAATTTGATAATTAATAAAACTGATAATAGACAAATTAATAATAGACAAATTAATAATTTATGATTTATATCTGCATTAGCAAGATAGAGCATATTTAACTGTGATATCAATTTTAAATTATCAATTAGTTTAAGGATATATCACTCGTAATGTAATAAGTAAGTTTGATAAGAATTCGATAAAACTTGTCCTGCGTACACAGTGAAATATTATCTAATTGTTCGTACAATTAAAAAAAATTCACTATTCGAGAGCTGAGGCAGTTGTAATTAAAATTGACACTTGTTATACATGTTCCTTGAGATTAACGTGCTATTTTTAATAGTACTATAGACTAAAATGCAAACATTTCAGAATTATTGACCAATTAGTCTTGAAAATATATTGATGTAATGTTCTTAACTTATAGTAATATTCGAAATACATACAAGGTGTCTCAGAACATTAGGCAAATTTAGTAAGAACGTAGAACGAATTGAGATGAACAAAAAAATAATATACCATTTTGCAAACAACACGCAAAATCTCGGGTTATTAATTATTTAAAATGGCCATGTATATAGGCTTCTTTAATTAACTCAACAATTTGCTCACATTATCCAAATATATTAAAATTCATATATATTAAAAGGATGACCAGTCCGCGTATCCTCAGAAACAGATCCCCAAAAACAGATCAAATAAAAACAAAAGCTGACAAATCAAATAAAGACAAAAGCATTTGCGGCGAGTCTCTACGATTATTCCATGCAAAAATTTAAATTATATACGGCATTATAATAAAATAATCGTGCTTTGCTCTCGAAGGCCGAGCACATCTCAATTTTCTAATAGATTACGGAAACTTATTTTCTACCGTGACATTCTACAATTCAACAATTTACGTGTTATTGCAAAATGGTCGTAAATGGTTGCAAATGATTTGCAGGAAATTCTTTTTTGGACGAAGTGGCCTAATTTGCAAGTATTTCCCTTACAGAAAAGTATCACTGTCTGTGATAAATTGGCCAGTGATAAATTACTACTGCTCAGCAGTTTTGTTATTCATACGAGTGATAAAATTCCTGAGAAAACATAGTAATTTATTACTGTCTAACTTATCACAGTAATGTTTTTTTGTAAGGAATGACTAAGCGTTATATTTAGAGACAGGCTCAAAATTCGAGGTTTAAGATTCAATATACCGGTGCTTATCGTTAGGCACAACAGCTGTCATATACCTGTAGATTAAGTTACTCTGAACTAAAAAGTTCTGTATCATTTTGCAAATAACATGCAAATTTTTTAATTAATTAAAGAAATTTCTATACAAGGCTGTTTTCAATAATTAGTAACTTGAAATTTTGCGTGTTGTTTGCAAAATTGTAAAGGACTTAGGTAATCCCTATCTAAAATATTTTGGAGTAGTGAGATTATGTGTTTTTATAAAACAAGTTCTCTCATTGGATTATCGGTTCCGAACTGCATAAAAAAAAGTCATAACCTTTCTTTCCATGACTGTACTTTTTACTTTAATACTGACTGTACTGTTACTTTAATATCCAGTTGTATTCTTTTCCTAATAAAGATAGTTATAATACGCGTTTGTCCTCACGGCCCCGTTGCAGACGACGAATTTTGGTTAATTAATAATTTGAATTTTTGTCGTGTTTTATACACTTTTGATGCAAATTTTAATGGACATGTAAAGATTTTATTTATTTAAAATATTTTTTAAATAAAATTTTCGGTGTTTCACATAATTTTTTCATTTAATTTAATAAATATATAAAAATTTTTCTTCGTAAATGGATTTTTTAATGTATTTTACATATTTATTTTGTCGAAAAATCCATGTATTACTGTACATTGTATGCTTATCAGTGTGCGAAGAGTACTGCTCGTATTATTGTATTAATAGATTGTGCTGTATAAATATTTCTGTTTTTGTATATTAGTATATACATACTAATTTTAATAAAAATAAATAATTGGATTTAATGATTAATCTGCTGTAAAAATGATTTTATTAATTTTTTTCTCGAATAAGACTTTATTATTTTTCTTCCAAAAATCTTCATTTTCTGATGTTCAATTGTTCAAATAATTTAATTTTTTGGAGCCAACATCATTATGCTATTTTTTTCAGTACAAATATTATAGCCTGAAAAGATTTATTTTTTCCACTGATAGGAAAGTTATAAATTTTTAACTGATATTCCGTTTTTCCGAAGTTTCTGATTCAACCTTAATCTATGAAAAATAAGTAAAATACACTCTGACTTCTACGATTACAAAAACTTGTTATTAAAGCTTTCAAAAGTATATGAGAATTATTTCAAATTTTTATATAGTCCGTAGAAAAATATGAAAATCTGCAGTGACCCTCAAAGATCCATTTTGGTAATGAAAGATGCTAAATTACACGTTACCGATGCATGGTTAAATAGCAATTTATCCCCGTTTGCAAAATAATTTCTCACATAACGTAAAAAAACTCTCACTTGCGTAGTGGAAAACACACAATCGAGCGATTAGTACTTACCGATATTGAGCTTTTCCGGATATTTTTTTATTTCAAGCAGCACATCGACAATATCAGGCCGGGAAACATTGTTTTTTTCTCTATAGTCGATACTTTCCATGACGATGCGCGTGAAAAATTTGGTGATTTGCGTTCGCGGTAGGACATAACCAAGCATATCGTAGAACCAGGGCACGGATTGTCTGAGTCTTATTCGTACTATGTTATTCCAGGACGGAGCGAATACTTGTCTACCCATTTTACGAAACTCGCTGTCATTGTCCGACAGGGAATTCGTGTCGATGCCGAAAGCACAGCTGCCAATAACGTCGGTGGTGAACTTAGCTGTCAGTTCGCGGAATTCCACAGGCTCGTTTTTGCTCACTAATGTATCTATATATCGTTCCATATGATTAGCGCATTCTAATATCAAAGAAAACATATCCTTCAATTTGCCGGACGTGAAAGCAGGCGACAGCCTCGTTCTTAAAGGTCGCCATCTTTTTGGTTCCAGGAAGAAAAGATGTTGCGACAGCGGTTCGGTCTAAAATCATTGTGGAGATTATTTTTTAATCAGATATGTTGGATTGCGATAAAATTCTATGCGAAATTACCAAAATGAAATCACACAATTCACACTGATTCTCACTGCCGTGTGTTAGGATTTGCACAAATAAAGAAAAAACGAGATCGAAAATAAAAACGAGAAAAGTTCAAGATATGCTACTGTGTACATAATTGCGTGTATGTGTATATATTAAGCGTATGATAAACCATTTAAGAACACTTTCCTTTTTACCTTCTTATGCGTAGTGAATCCTCTATCAGCGAAGCTAGTGAAATCTTTGATAAGAATATCCTTGATTAAATCGAGATCTTTTAAGATAAGGACGGGCGTTCTTCTCGCAAATACGCCAATCATAGGCTCATCCTTGTAATGGTGGTAAAGCTCCGACAAGAATTCAGTCGTACTTTTTCTTACGAGTAAAATGTCCTTGATATTGCCGAACGGCGGCTTCGGTTGTGGACCTTGAACGCCCCGTGATTTCCAAAAGTTGTAAGTCGAGGTGAAATAATAATAAAGAACGAGAATTGCGGCGGCGATGCCGCATAGTATTTCGAAGAGTCCCATTGCCTTATGCTTGTTGACCACGAACGATTTTCGCTGGAATTCAAAATTCGAAAAGTTTTCACCTTGCGAGATTTAAAAAACAGAATGAAATTTAAATGATATCTACACTTTCACAGCCTTCATATACTGAAAAATATAATTCTTAAAAGAAATATATGTTGTTAAATATATAATCTTTAATTTAGATAAATATTTGTTAAATTTAAGAAAAAAATTCATAAATATAAATTTTTTTTTTTAATTTGTAAAGTGATTTGTAAAATCATGAGTTTCCAAATTAGAAAATATAATTTTTTTTATTTTGAAATACCATTATATGAGAAAAAGCAAACGATTTTTTTACAGGAAAAAAATGTGTTTTTTAATGTAAAAATTGTGTTTATATAAATATTTGCTTGATTTAAAAATAAGCAAATACAAACAGTTACTATTAATCAAATTATTTTATAAATCTAAATGAATAATTTTCTGATATTAAAAGAATCTTTATTGTTCAAATAAAAAGTTTCTTTTAGCATTTAAAAATAATTTATTTGGATTTGCTTACTTTTAAAACGAGCAAATATTTTCTAAACATACTTTTTATGTTTAAAAGGGCCCATTTTGTTCCTCTAAAGAAATTATTTATTTTTATATATGAGTATATCATATGTATATAGTATAAGATTTCAGTTAAAATCATGGTAGTGTAGCAGGTAAAGTGGACGACTAAAAACCAGAGGTTCTGAAGTTTCGAATCTCAGTAGTGGTAAGTTATTTCAAGTAAAATTTAAATTGAATTAAGCAGCGCGTGAAACGATAAAGTCCCATTCATATTCATTTCTAAAGGAAAAAAACAAAAATGCAACATAAATCAAAACTTTAATTTTTTTAAATTAGCTAATAGCTAAAAAATATTTTATTGGTATTAAAATAATATTTGTATTTATTGATATATTCTTTTTTTCTATTTGAAGATTTATTTATTCAAAGTCAAATAAACATTTTTCAATAAAAAAAAAATATTTTTCCGCAACCAAGAAAAACGTTTCTTTTAATTAATAAAATATATTAATTTCAATCAAATAATTATTTAATTATGAGTATTAAAATAAATCATTTTTTTTAATAAAATGAAATTTGGTTCTTATATTTTTTTTCATTTACATATAGAGGATCTTTCGTAACCACATTCTGCAATACTTCAATATTCCGAAGATTAACCCCTTAACGCACAGTTTTTTTGAAAAAAACCGGCCAAAAAAATCAATTTTTTTATTTAAAAAAATTTTTTTCCTTGCTTTCACATTGTTATTTTCAATTCTCGATTATATTTGAGTGTGAAAAATTATAGCAGCATAAAATACAACGCCGCTCGAATTATCTCAAGTGTGCACAGTTTGGCCTGTTTAGCGCGCTCCAATTAACTCGAGCGTACAAGAGGTTAATTAAAATTGCGAAGTTTGAGATGACGATGATAAATTACCTCACCAACACATAAGCGTTATTTAAACGTTTGAGAAACATTTTTCATCGATTTATCTGCTGAACGGCTTTTTAATAAACATCAACCAACAATAACGTAACATCAATATTATAATTTCCCATTCAACTGCGTAATTGTTACATAACACACGCGTTATATCGCATTTACATTGTTGAGTAGGAAATTATAACATTGATGTTATGTTACTGTTAGTTAATGTTCACTGAGTTGTTTTTCTAAAGATTCGAATGTATCCGTTTGGAGCACTAAGTCTAAAAATATCACATGTAAATGTCAGACGTTTTGGAAGTGTTCGAATTTAAACTTTATGGGAGATTCACACCCGGGCCGACATGTAATATGTACGATATAATACTAATATCCAATAGAAAAATATTCATTTCGGATATTCGGTGAATGAACACATGAGCGTTAAGGTCGAGTAGTCGGTTAAAGTAAACGTTTATATAACGTTTGTGTGTTGGTGGATACTCTAGAAAAGTAAGATTACACATAATCCAACTATATTTTTAGATCTCTATCAGAGAATACAATATCAAAAAAGAGAAATATAGAGAAATCGTTTCGCATTTTTAACAAAGATTATGATCATACGAGCTGTGTTGTCAAGATAAATATTAATATATACTACATATGATTAAAGCAATACTAATTAATATTTTTCTCCTCTTTAGATATTGTTGAATATTTTCCCCGTTAAAATTATTATCATTATTATTCTTCATACAATAATGAATACGTATATAATAAATACACGATAATATTTATATGATGAATAATGATGGTTACTATTATTTATATTCTGATGGATAAAATACAGCTTGTACAATGCGCAATAATGAAGTTTCGCAGTGGATACGATCACGAGTAGGAGAGCAAGCAGCGGATGTAACGTACCTGGAGATAATTGAATAATTGAGCTCCGTATACTGCACTGCATCAGCGGCGCAACTGAGATGCGACTGGCCGCTGTAATCCGTGCTGCCTTCACTTATAGGAATACTGCGAAGAAATGATACTGCAAAATATTAATCTGAGTCACGATGATAGACAATTTTATCGCACCAGATGTACATGAATTAAGTAAAGACGTTTACAACTGTTTTATGCGCCTTGCTTACATATAATATCAATGATATGCATCGGGATATCTAATATATGTTAAAGATTAGTCATGGAAATCTTATTATCTAAAATAAAACTCGATGGAAATATAAAACAAATAATATATTAACTTTAGTTTCTTCGAACAAATAAATCTTGCCTGGAAAAGAGGAGTGAAAATCGAATTAGCAAAGAATATAATTCGTCTATGTTTAAAATTCGAACTTTCATTAGCTAAACAGAGAGAGTTGAATTTATCATGCTCGTAACATGTGAAGCGAGCATGATGCAAGAATCGAGTTGCTTTCTCGACACAATAACATGAGAATTGACAACCGATAACAAAAGGAGACTCGGGATACAAAAGCGGATAAACACTCGGCATGTATTGTGTCTACTATAAGAAAAGCCTAATAATAAGGATCTAAATAATAAGATTAAAAGACTTGTCGATTTAGATCACAAACATTACCATATTTGGATATTGTCTAATGCTTCATCCGATCGAAGGATAATCAATAAACTCGTTCCGCTTGGTATCAATAATTATGAAACTGGGTGCCTTCGGCACGACGAATCAGAAGTGAGCACAAGGAAGTTAGAGCAATTTAGTCGATTCGAATTATTCGCTTTTCTCGGTTCGCTACGCTTTCAACTACTCTCCGTGCGAGAACTCAAAATTCACTATCTCAAATCATCGCATTGCGATATATCATCCGCATCCTCGCGACTATTTCGCGAGAGATCTTCCGATCATCAATATAAATTATATTCGTCATTTTGAACGTCGTGAGCGTCGAATTAAAATCGTGTTGCGACCTACAATGGTGGTTGCGCGTGCCGGAAAATAAGGAGAAGACCATTCCGATCGTCAAACGCTGCGAAAAATTCGGCATCGGCGGGCGCCCAGAAAGGCCATTCGAGCGAGTTCTGAACACGCTTGTTCGACAAGCCGGAGGACGCCTCTCCTTACGTCAGTGACTGAATAAACTATTACCTTAACTGCAATCGATTTCCTAACTATTTTCCTGACACCGATCCATTACCGCATTCCACGCCATGCACTAGGCAGATCCAGCCGGAGCGGTACACTCGAACATTTGAGTGCATTCGCTAACAGTCTAACAAATATCGTTTATTGTCTGAATGTGATTTTATTTTCGCGATACCCGGTATATTAATCACTTCAATGTATGTGTCGTAATATATATATAAGTTACTAACGATCGAGTGGCGTCACGACCGCCGTGTAAGCGAATTTACATTGGCACAAGTGTAAAGCAATTCATATAAGTAACGAACACCTGTTAGCAACACATATGTTAGTAAAAACCATATAAATAAGAAGTGCTAGATCATCCTTAACTTTCTGTAAATATTTATATACTGGAAGTCGACTTGTATCACTGATACGCAGGTTGTATTCGAGAAATGCATTATCATTACTGTACACATCATTCAATCTTTATCATTCATTAGACGTGACACAAAATAGATTGATAATACGTTGAGATAATAATTGAGAAATACTTTGATAACAGACTCTTCCAACACAGCCACAGAAAAGCCTGCATCACATGATGCTTACTATGACGGATTGCTGGAGAGCTAGAAATATACCAATCAGAACGCTATATTTCTAGCACACAAACAATACAGCAGGCAAGAACGCATCGTGTATCATGGGCGTAACAAATCAAATACTGTCAGTTGCTGATCTCAACCTATACCCTCACTTTTTCATCATTTTATTTTCAAAGTGGAGTGCAAGATTACATGCATACAGCATAAATTGCTGTAAATAATATTACTATATCGAAATAAAACATATTTATGATTTCATTACTTCATTATTTGAACCTTTCGCCGGCAATGTGGGTCTTTAAAGGCCCAACGATTCTTTTGATCTGTTATAGGTTGGAGTGAGACACGGATATGTTTTCTCACTTCAACTTATTGCATCTGTTCAGCAGTGCAGCTATAAAGAACAGACCAATTAATATAAAGAATATCCTACTCTACTAATCATGAATGGCAGATATTGGTGGATTTTCTTTCTAGAGAAATCTCGATTTTACTCTCTAGGCCGATATTCATAGTTACATTTTATATTTAAGACCGTTTTAATTTTCAGGTTATCTTCAGATGCTTTATAGCCAATGAAATGAGCCGTAGAGCATCCGAAGATAACTTAAGATGATCTTGTACATAAGATCTGTCTATGAATACCGGCCCTAAAGTTTTGAGGTAATAAATTTTGTTTTTTTCTAGAAAAAAATTTCTAATTGGCTGTATCACGTTGTAGGACACGTAGAACATTGAAAAGAGTGTGAATTCGACATTAAAGATGGTGAGAGAGTGATTATGCAGTGACATGAGAAAGCCATCGTAACAGACGTGGATAGTAGATCGAGTGTCACCATACGTCAAGATGGCTGAGCTTATAGCGATCCCGTTGAAGAAACCGTCTGATATTGACGTAATAAAACCTCTTACCAATATCATCAAATCGACATACAACAGTCCGGGCAATCAAAAGGATTACACGGAGGCTATTGCGGAATTCAGCAAGCTGAGAAACAACGCTTTGTGGCGAGCCTTCGAAAAGTACGAAAGTTCCTTGGAGGTTATCTACAGGTATATATGAGTCATCTGTAACTTGATAGTTATTTCGTCTGTAGGGCGGTAATGAATTATCTGATGTCACCGACTATTTGTGACTCGTGAAGTCGTTCAAGGAAACAAATATATTACGATTATAAAATCCACGTCGGTCCATGTTTGTCCAAGTTTCACCATCAGCGAAAAACATTTGATCGATCGGATGCTCGATAGTAGATTAATTCGAACAGTTCGAATTTCGAGATTAAACTTGAAATTACATTCATGACTTTTACAAATATTACTCTATTTCAAGGAAATAACATTTTACTCATAAATTGACAGACTTAGAATATGTATTAGATTAGGTAATACCTACTAGCTAGACTACATAGCTAGACTGTTTTTTACTGCTGAACTGGTGCAATAAGTTGAAATGAGGAAACATATATTTGTCTCATCAATAAGTTGAAATGAGACAAATATATGTTTCCTCATTTCAACTTATTGCACCAGTTCAGCAGTAGTTTAGCAGTGCAGCAATAAAGAACAGAACAGATATCTTCAAGTTGTAATAATTTTTGAACGTTATTAATCTGAAGTCAGTTGGAACTACTGAAAAATGTATCTTGGAATGTTAAAATTTTTCTCTTTACACTTTTTCATTTTTGAAAGATTAAAACTTACAAAATGTTTATAAAATTTTAAGTTTTGAAAATTAAAAAATTTGTACGAAGCGATTTTGATATATATTAAAGTGAATAACAAGAATTTCTGAATTTTATTAGCTTTTTTTTTATTTAACATGTGAATTTGAGGAAAATTTGAAGTCAAAAGTTGAAGTAAAATGACATTAAATTTTTATTAGATGGAAGATTATGTTACATGTAATATTTAAAAAATTGGCTATATATACATATATATGTATATATTGGTTATTTATAGTTATTACGATCAATTATGTGCTCTGGAAGGAAAAATTCCAGCTCATGAGTTGCAAATACCATTCAAATGGAAAGATGCCTTTGATCGTACAATTTTTGGAGGGAAACTTAGTTTAAGTAAGTATTAAAAAAAAAAACAGTCTTGTGTGTGCATTAGAGAGAAACAATCATAAAATTAAATATTTATAATTTTATATATTAAAACGAGTTTTCTTAAATTATTTAAATGTTAAAACGGTCAATAAAATAATGAATGGAATACAAGAGAGAGCTTATCATAATCTTTAAACAAAGGATATAGTGATACAGTGATAGATAAGATAAAAGCGATACAAATTTCGACCGAGTGTCAGAAGTCAGTGTGTGGATATAACTTACATTATTGAATCCGCATAATTGTTATCTGCAGCAATCAGTACATTGGCATATGAGAAAGTATGCGTCCTCTTCAACATCGCCGCTTTACAAAGCTCGGTAGCCGCTATGCAATCGTTAGAGAGCGACGAAGGATTAAAGTTAGCGGCTAAATTATTTCAGGTTCATTCTTGTCCCTACATATCAATAACATCCCATTAATAAACACCACTTAACAACAACATTATAGCAACGTTGTAATTTTCCGCTCAAGAACTGTTATATACAACACATGTTATACATACATATATATATATATATCGCACTTGCATTGTTGAATGAGAAATTATAACATTGACGTAATATTGCTGTTAGTTGGTGTTTACCGGGACTTTCATCACATCAGCCATACCTCGATCGATCGATTCCTCGTTATTTTCAGCAATCGGCTAGTATATTTAATTCCCTGAAGGGGGATGTTATGATGGCAATTCAGCAGGAACCGACACCTGACATTAGTCCGGAAACACTTGGGGCGCTAAGCGCATTAATGCTCGCACAAGCGCAGGAAATATTTGTGCACAAGGCAATTCACGATTCTATGAAAGACGCCATCGTCGCTAAACTAGCGGCACAAGCGGAAGAATTGTATGCGGTTGCTCTGAAACTGTTTCAGAAGGAGATTTTCCGCGCATTTTGGGACAAAGAGTGGGTGCCTCTGGTTAGTACATTAAGAGGACACATAAGACGCAATAACTTTTCTTCGTATTCGCGCTATTATACAGATATGTGTGTAAATGTTCTTGCAGATAGCAGGTAAACAAGCTGGCTATCGTGCTATGTCGACGTATTATCAGTCGCTTGTATGCAAGAGTAATAAAATGATCGGAGAAGAGATCGCCAGATTAGAGGTAATTGATTACATCGTCGCTAAAGTTCCATTGCGAACCTTTACAAATGTACCTTTTCAAAGTGACTACACGAGCGACGTGTCGATATCTTTAGCATGCCGTAGAGCTATTCCAAGCTGCTCAGCAGAGATCGAACAAGCCTAATTTGTTCCAAGACTACGCTAACAAAGCGCAGAGGAACTTAACGGAGGTGAAGAAGGATAATGATTTTATCTATCACGAAAGGATCCCGGACATCAAGAGTCTGGAAGCAATAGGAAGAGCTTCCGTCGCCAAGCTACTTCCGCTTCCTGAAACGTTCAGTTCTAATTTCAAAGGTTCGCGACCAATCGTCTCGCACGATTTTACACGATTTTATTTCCCTTCGCGTATCTCAAGTAAATCCTCATTCGTCCACAGACCTCTTTGTGGAATTGCTGCCTGTCGGCGTACACCACGCATTGTCAGCCTACGAGACTCGTCGCAATGAGCTTGTCAATTACGAAGTTTCGAATTTACGCGAAATGACCCAACTTCTGAACAGGTATGCGCGTGAAGTCACGATTTATCGTTCAGTTGTCGAGACGTTTCGTGACAAATTTTTCTCTCTCAATTGTATGCGCACAGCGTCTTGGCGAGTTTGAATCTACCGGCAGCTATAGAAGACACCAGCGGAACGGAAATACCTCAATCGCTGTTGGACAAAGCGTCTTTCGTACGGGATGCTGGTGGAATAAGAGGTTTGGAAGCGTTCATGAAAGAGTTGCCGGATTTGTTACAACGTAATAAGGAACTCCTGGACGAGGTAAAAATGTTGTTCCTCGAAACTACTTTATGTTGTTTATGTGTGTGTATGTCTGTGCCTCGTTAGCAAATTAATTAATTAACTTATGCACTTATTTGTAGTCTGAGAGAATGCTGCAAGAAGAACGTGAATCCGATGATCAACTACGAGATCAGTTCAAGGAACGTTGGAAGAGGATACCGAGTGCCCGATTGACGGAACAGTTTTCTGTAAATTTGCAGAAATATCATGAGATTATTAATAATGCAGTTAACGCCGATAAGGTAAGCATTTGAGCGAAAGAGGAAGAGAAAGAGAAACCTTATGGATCTTTGTATTGTCACACGCCACTTTTTCTCACGCTCCATTCGTTGGCGCGGACCACTTCGCTCCCGTTTTCAAGCGGCAGCGGCTTTACCTCGGCTAGCTCAGTTGTTTAATTAATCTTTATAGGCGGTATCGCATCCCTCGCGATTCCGCGCCGGCGAGCGTCGGGGTTCTTTTCCGCGTCTCCTCGATATTCGCCGATTAGTCGGAGGGGAGCCGGAAGAGGTAATAACCTTGAGAGACCGGTTAACGATAACAAAAGAATAGTTTAATTCGATATGGCTTCTTACATTTGTATAATCGCGATTCTACGGCGGTGATCGGTCCTGTGATGTGACCTTGAATTACGCTGGAGTTAGACTGCGTCCCTCGCGGACGCATCTAACTATCGGGCCCCGGGAGATTCGGCAACGAATCTTCAAGGGAAGCAATCTCTCGCTCACCTGTTCCGCGAGATGGGAATTAAGGCGGCGGACCTAAGCCGTTCGACGGCAGCAAAATAATTACGCGCGTCGTGTTTCTTAGCTCCCTTGCCCGGCAGCCGTTCCGCGAATCTCTCCGAGATTGTTGGGCGCCAGCCGGGTCCTTCCCGGCAGTAGTTTCTGCCCCGGCCGGGTCGGTACTCTCCGACGTACTCGCCCGCCGGCAGCAGTCACCACTTACAATTCAATTCTTTCCCTCGCACGAGTCCTGACGCACGCCTTCGGACTCCGACTCTGCGCTGACTATGCGACTGGCGATATGTAAGGACGACCGAGTCTCGCCCTTTTGCCGTGCGCCGTTTGCGCACAGGACCAAAAATCGGCACTCGGTCGCCTTCTCTTATGAGAAGGCGCGAGCCTCCGGCTCCTCCTCCTCGGTCAGGCCACCGCCTGAGTGACGGGCAAAAATGTTGCATCGTCACAGTATATTTTCGTATCTTTAGTACTCTTGTTAACGTTCCGTTAAATTGGTCGTGCGCAGGTGGTTCGTGAGAAATACGAGAAGAACAAAGAAGGGATGGAAATCTTGAGTTTGGACGAGGACGAACTTACCAGGGCTGTCCCGCAGGGTTCGGCTGTTCAAGAGAGCAACGTTGTCATGCAACTTCGAAAATTGATGGATGATGTATGTGAAAGATAAGATGACTGAGACGGATGAGTTTTCACGACGTATATGGATTGATTTCTTAAATCGTAGCTAATCGTCGTGAAATATCTCGGTTTCAGGTGGGAACTTTGAAAGCTGAACGTGATGCTATCGAAAGTGAATTCAAGTCCGCTACCAATGATATGAAGAGCACATTCCTGTCGGCGTTAGCTAAAGATGTCGCGATCGATGAGCCGAATTTATCCGTCGAGGGTTTGGGAAAATGTTACGGGCCTTTGCAGAAGCAAGTGCGGGAAAATATAGCACACCAGGAGGAATTAATCGCTCAGATACAGGTGGGATTTCTTTTTACGTAAGAGGGAAAGTTTATAATTGCGAGTTATCAGAGAAGAGAGGAGAGCAACAGTTGATTCGTAATGATTTGACAGAGTTGCCACGCAGAATTTACGAACGAACAAGCCGGCGCTGGTAGCTCGCGCGAGACGATGCTCTGCAAGCTGGCTTCCGCCCACGATGCATTTAAAGAGCTCAAGAACAACTTGACGGAAGGGGCGAAGTTTTATAACGATTTAACACAGGTACACCGTTACGTTTTCTCATACGTTCGCCGTCGTAAAAATAACACCGTCGACATCTAAACGTACGCCTGTCTCTCTCTCTCTCTCGACAGCTATTGGTGGTTTTCCAAAACAAGATATCCGACTTCTGTTTCGCCCGGAAAACCGAGAAGGAGGAATTGCTGAAAGATTTAACGACAAATCTGAGCCACAGCGGCCCTGCTACGACACCGAACATTCCATCCCACCACAGCGGTACGAATTATAAATAAATCAATAATCTCACATTGATCGATTCTCTCACCGGTCTTACACCAATGCTTTTCAATCTTGTTACAGTGTGACATTACTAGTAGCGAAGTAGTTATGGCGATATTTGAAAATTATCGTTTACGTTCCGCTAGGTAGATAATGTAGAAAGTATTTTGGGTTACCACGTTTCGTATTTTAACATTAAATGTCTACCTAAAGGGCCACCTGGCGTGAGCCAAGCAGCGGATGCACCACAGCTACCCTATCCTGTGCAACAAAGTGGTATGCCTATGCCTTACGGTGCCACACCGGCGACACCGTATCCATCGTACGTCTCCCCACCTATGCCAGCAGCTTACAATCCGTACGCTACGATGCCGTATCCTACGCAAGGTACACAAACTTCTCGAGTTTTCTTTCCACACGGAAGAAACAACTTGGTCAAATTTACCTCAGATGGACTAAACGCGTTTTGGTTAAAGGAAATTTCTAGTTACAAAAGACGAAGTTAAGACTCATAAGAGAACTGGATATTTTATTTCCTTCAACCAAAGCGCGCTTAATTTGTCCGGGTAAATTCAACCAAACTGTCTTTTTCCGTGTATATTACTTGAAATTACTCCGAATATCTGAGAAAAGTCTCTTGCAAGCCGGATGCACATATATTTGTAGATTTCTCATAACACTTATCTACACTGCGTTTCAAAACGATCGGAACACTTTCGACACAGTTCGGAACGCAAATGTTGATCCAATGAGAGAACTCGTTTTCGGGAAATTAGTTCTCTTATGGGACCATCAGTTGTGTTTCAAATTGCATAAAGAAAGATGTGATCAAATCATTTTGAAACTCATCAAAGATATGATTCAGCAAACTCTGATTAATGTAATCGACGATTAACTTCACGGAATTGGCCAATCGCATTGTTCAATAAGCTGAATCAATCAATGCGATAGATCAGCCCCGTTGAAATATCAAATAAGATTAGATTAAGTGAAACTTATTAAAAGTCATCCTTACGATTATATAACTTACTTCGATACATCTAAGTTCTTCTAGGAACTCTAATACTATCGTATTTTCGTGCACATACGCAATCAAATTTCTTGATAACTTTGCAAACAGAGATCCGATTGTTATCGATCTCCTGTATATCGTACAGGACGAGGCAATAACTATTACCATCGTAAATATCATCATTTTTTGATAACATCACCTCAACACTTTTATACGTAGAATGACAGGTGAAATCGATTGTAAGCAAACATAAAGAAACCTAAGAAAAATTCGTTATATTTTGCAAATGCATCGATGCACCAATTTGCATTGATTAATATATCAGTAGTCTATTTCTCTCATATTGTTATGTGTACAAAAATATTAAAGTGATGTTATCGAAAAGTGAGTACTTCCCGAGATATTTCATATCTTGTATTGGAAAATGTCAGGACGAAAAGTAAAATATCTCGGAAAGTATTCACTTTTCGATGATCTTATTCTAATACTAATATTCTAATACTTTTATACGCAAAATAAACACAAAAATCGATTTATGTTTAAAAGCTATATGATTCCATAAGAAAAAAAGGTGACCCTCGGATCTTTGAATCTACTCCACCTAGAAAAACTATCATCACCATAAGGCGACCGCTTCTCTACCGTGTAATTTCTGTTAGATAAATTTGTCCCTTGCTCTCATAATTTTGAAGAGATTCAAGATGGTAATGATTATTGCCTCATCCTATATAACCAGAGAGAAAGTGAAGAAGTATGTATCATATATACGTTGATTTTTAGGAGGATACAATCCGTACCAACCGATGCCTCAAGCGCCGTACGGCGGCTACGCGACATTACCGCGTTATGGTGGTGCCCAACCGCCGCGTGGTCCGAACCAATGGTAAAAGTTATACAAACGTGTAGCATTAATAATAAACTTTAGGGTATACTGTAGAGTATACTGTGATTTTGTGGAAAATATGCGGATTATAATAATGATTAAAATAAACTAAATATATATATATATATTCTAAAAAAAAGCTATGATTAATAAACAACAGATTCATGGAGACAATGTGGTTGCGTCCGGCAAAAGTCACAGCACATACGTTAGCGCTTTGTGTTTGTATTCCCATGGTTTTGCTGAATGCTCTTCTTGACAGTTACCAGCGGCTACGCTTTCCAGTACTTTCCAGCGCTTAGAAAATATATTTTTAAGAGCTAGAAAAAAACGGCGATGTTGTTCAATAAATATGTTAAAAGGCGCCGCCGCACAGTGTTCGACAGAGGATTTTACAATACAGTTGCTTTTCTTTCTGCTGAACGCAACCAATATTGTTTGTAATCCAAGGATATTTACATTTACCGATTGTTCCATCACAAGTTTTGTCATAGTAAATCTTTTATAATACAGATCGACCGTTGCTGTTTGTTGAGCTTTAAGTACCGCTTTATCAATTGCATGAAGGAGCTTATTATACGTCAATAAATTTATAAATATATTTTGTAAAATAAGCTGAATGTGTAAATTATTCTCACACCTGTTGTTGAGACTTCACTTGGAGAAACAGTTGTAAGTTAATCGTGACGTCGAATAGAGATTAAACAATCCATATGTATTTCATATGCATGATGAAGAGGATTTGCAATGACGTCACAGTGACTTTGCAACAGTATTTCAAAGACATATAATTCTGTATAATCGTGCTGAATTATATACACAAATTGTGTGATTTGAATAAGAGATAGTACGCGTTCTTTAAATTTCTTACGGATAATCGAAGCATTATTGACAATGATGCTCTGAATCACTCTTACGTAACGCCATGTCATGCGGAATACTTATTTTCTTATGTCTATTGTTTCATGTGACATTGCGAGTAAATAATACAAGACAAGCATTTCATATGAGATATAATGAATCATGCTGCATATCCAATCAAGGCATATATTACAGTATTAAATTAAAGGAATGTGGATGTTAACAGTGATGATGTTGCTGGAACTAAATCGTTACATTTTTCTTTCACTGTTCCAAATATATTTTCTATTTACAAGACATATCGATTTTATATCAGTACTATTAATATTATTAATAGTATTAATAGTATTAATAATATTAATAGTACTTATAGGAGAAAAAGTTTATATGTTACTTTCACGTGCTTTAAACGTAACTTCTTTTTATCTGAGCGTTAGGGTTTTTTTTATTGTATGCTGATGAACACGACGAGTCTCTCGAACTCAAGACCATTTGATTATTCAATTCTATTCTTTCGTTCTTAAATAAATGAAACAGTTTCAGCAACATCCCAATTGTTAGATGCATATATATTACAGATGGTTCCATACTTCGTCTTAAATCTCGTTTTTATTTCGTGAATAGTATTTTAAATCCCTTGCAGTTACATCGATATGTATCAATATATCTGTAATGCCATCGGACATATGAAAAGAATACTTTTGCTGACGAAAGGTTTTTGCTTACAATTCACTGGCGATCGAATGAATGAGTACAAGGAATTTATTTATTACAATTTTACATGATACATTATTAATATAAGAGATTTGCGTATAAAAAAAATTCTTACATAAAGTGTAATATTCCCTAATAGTTAACTGACTTACGAATTTTTTTCTTTCGTGTAATTTGGAGAGAATTACAACAAAAATTCGCAGAATTATCCCAAAGAAACCGTGACATCGGAGATGTCTCCGAAAGAAAATGTCTTTATGTGGAAACATCTTGAAAGTTTTGCCTTTAAGCACAGTACAACACGAGTAGTTTCAGTATAGGAAAAAGAGGTAGAGAAGATTCGAAATATAGACATTTTCTTTGTAAGAGTATACGAATATAGGTAGATCTTATTGTACATTTCAATGATGGAAAACGCACACTATAGACGGNATATATATATGTATGTATATATATATACCATTTTCCGTAGCATTTGTCGATCTGCAAACTAGTAATGTGAATGACTTTATCGGTAGCATAATCGGTAATAGCGAATACAGAATGTTTCGTGCTGGGTAGAGAAAGCTGGAGAGGAAAGAGAAACGTGAAACACGACGATAGAGATTTAGTCTTTGGAGTGCTGGCTATTGGAACTGCTCGACCGCGAGCGGCGCTTAAATTTCGGCTGAGTCGTTGTATCCGTCTGCACGTTGTTATCGTTTCTCTTGTGTTTGCTCTTGTCGTAGCGGGAACTGAAGTCGTTGTCCTGGTAGGAATTGGAGTTATTCGAACGTCTGTGATCGTTGCGCTTGTCGTAATGCTTGTAATAATCCCTTCCGCCGGTTTTGGTGACTCTGTGCGAGTCCCGTCTGCGAGGGGAATAATTTCTCCGGTTCCTTCTATCGCGGCTACCCCTGCGGTCATAGTCTCTCTCCCTGGATCTCCTGCGATCTTTTGATCGAGAACGCCTGCGTCTTCTGTTTCTATCGCGCGAGTCGCGCCGGGAGCTTCGGTCGCTGTATGATCGATTGCCGTCGCGTCTCACCGACTTCTCGTTCTTGTTATACTTGACCTCCTCTTTGTTCTGCACGACCACGTTGTTCCCTTCCGCGCTCCTCTTCGCGATATCGCTTTGCTGCTGCGTTATCTTGTTCACAGCCGTTGCCTTGTCCATTTGATCGTTTTCTTTATCCTCCATGAACTCCGCCGGGCATATATTATTATCCGGATTATCCGACACTTGATTATCTTCGTCGGGGTTCTCCCCGAATCTCTTAATTCTGTCAGCTTCACGCTGCTTCAGCTCCTCTTCCTTCTTCATACGCTCCTTCTCTATTTTCTGCGATACGAGAGCACAGTGGTCTAACGGGTTACAAGTAATGAGGGTGTATCGTAGACTTTTAAGTGCTTTTGTATCACTAACACACGCAGGTCGGGCGTATCTAATATCAGTTGAAATGAATGCTCGAAAGAAAATATCCTGTTCTTTACCGTAAAGACGTAAACTCGGAATGTCGAATTTAGAATGTGTGGCACCTTGTAAGTAACTTTAGATCTAAAGTGAATACGGTAGTACGGTAGTACGGTTTTATCTGAAATAGCGAGTTTAACAGTCTAGAACAGTATACATAGTGTCGCGAGTATCTTTTTTTTTTAATTACAAGTTGGACACATCGTGTTTAGGTACTCGCGTATTATAAGTATAAATAATTGACAGTCATTTAGTGCTCCTTGCTTGACAATTATGACGCACAGATACCTAAACGACGTATTAAATTGAAATGACTAATTTAGGACTAATTTAGGAAAGATGTGAATGCTGAACAAAGAGAAGGCCAAGTATAACAAAAAGATATATATATATATATATATATACGCACACGCACGCACGCACACACACACATGTATCACATAACAAACTACGTAAAATTTAGAATTATTAGTTATTGAAAATATCCATGTATAAAAGTTATTTGCAAAATGGTAAAGGACTTTTTTGCTCACATGATGGCCTCGATCATCGATGGCCAGGATGATCGAAGGGAGAATTCACACCTTAACAGAAAAGTAGGAAGTAGAAAAGCAGCCAATCAGAACTCGCGTTGGTAGCCGACAGTTTCTGCTTTATCTACTGCTTACTCCCAGCGCGAATTCTGATTGACTTGCTGCTTTTCTACTTTCAGCTTTTCTATCAAGGTGTGAACTCTCCCTGACACAAGTATATGACAGTTGCTGCATCTAGATACAGACAAAAGTACATTGAACCTCGGACCTTGAACCTGTCGCTAAGGTAAAGCAACCGCCGTATACTTGTAAATTAGGCTATTCCAAGAAGAAAAAGTTCCTTACTATTTTTCAAATAACGCAAATGTTGGAGTTATTAACTAAAGTCTCTATACGTGGCTATTTTTAATAATTAATAATTAAAAATTTCGCTTGGTTGTTTGCAAAATGCTACAGAACTTGTTATTCACATTGACCTTAACTATAAATATATATCGGTTGACATACACTTAACTACAAACACTGTGGAAGTCCGTGAGTGCGTACTGTACTCTAAATATCTATGTAATACCTGAAATTCATGCAGCTTGATGGTACGATTCTGAGCTTGCTTCCAATGGGGCGGCGTTACACTTCTGGAACGACTTCGAGAAGGCGTATGATATCGCTGAAATTTGATTTAAAATGTATCTCTCATTGAAATGTTTTATATAGTGAAGCAACGGATAATACAGGTATTCGAATGTACGCGTATAATGCGCTACTTATACATTATGTAACTGATATTGGCACGATCAGGATTATAATATTCATATAAGCACTTACGAATATTCCTCTTCCTTTAAAAATACGACCAGTCTTTCTGTGAGAACGTATACGATCTCTCCCGTAATGCTGTCTAAATTCCTTCTGATTTGCATTATTGGTGGGCCCGGCTCTGTATAAAAATTTATTCGCCGGTACTTCTGGAATTTCGTCAGGATCGATCTTGGTAATCGATACTAATGGATGAGGTTGCCCGTTGTCTTCCTCATTAGAGTCTCGAGTTTCGCCATCTTCTAGCTTTGTTCTCTTTTTACTAAAACAATCGCACGCCCATCGTTACATCATATTCATAATTTATCAGTAATTAACCATAAAATGATATAGCCCATAACGACGGATGATTATGAGTTTATGAAGTGATATATGTATAGAACTTATAAGTTCAATCTCACTTGTCACCTCTGCTTTTACATACCTCTTCTTGTTCTTCTTTTTTTTCTTTACCTTATCGACATAGGAATCAGACTCCGAATCCGACGAACTACTCTGCTTCGCTTCACGTTTCTTTACTGTAAATGCACACGGTAAGATATCCCATTATAACCCATTCGTCTTATCGTGCTTATAACTTTATGCTTAAAAAGTAAACAGCAGTAATACCTTTATTTTTTATCTTCAAAATCAATTCTCCACAGTTTACAACCTTAGCATCCTGTAATGGACGTGACATACGATCCACTGGAAGTCCTTCGATGTGTGTTACGACTTCTTGCCCAGATACTACTTCTCCAAAAACCACATGGACACTGAAAATAAAGCGTTTCCGTGTAGACACAAACAGGCTTTCGAACGAGCCACGTTCAAGTTGCGTCAATGCTGTATTATCAATGCTGAGAATATCTCAAAATACACGGTGAAATATTTAGAATGTGTGCTTACTTGTCGAGGTGAGGCGCTGGTTGTGTTGTACTACAACAACAAAATATGATTAAGGGGATGAGAGATGAACAGAAAGAGCCAGCTTTCATTGGTCATTGTGTTGTAGTAGTGGTGTGCAGACCCTTCCCTCACGACTACGCAGAAACATCGCTAAGTTATTCATTCCTCCACAGAATTATTCTTATTCCTATAATTTTTCAATACTCTCCGCGAGTCTGCCTGCATAGCTATTGTGGGAACAAATACGTTCGTGTCGAATCGAAATTCGCTGGCTTTTTTTACCATGCAATTACATCAACTAATTTTGGATTGGGAGAATGCTGCTGTTATTGTTATCACGCTTTGAGTTTTGCGCGTCTTACACACATTCTCATATTCTACTTATTACATACAAAAAATACCTAGTTGTTAATAGTTGAAAAGAAGTTTCAGGAAACTTCTCCCTAAAAAAAATTTTCTTATGCACGTTATAATAATAATAACAAAGGAAATAATAATACATATATGTATAACATAACCATGTTGTAACATCTTGTGCCTGTAAGATTTTGCTATATATATAAGCATATATGCAAATAATATTATAAACATACACATATAATATCAGTATTATATGAGATTTGTACATGTCTACTTGTATATAGCGGAATATTGTGTGATACATCTCATGGGTTTCAAAATTTCATATATCGAATTAAATAAAATACATATAGATCGTAAGTGTAACAATGCAACTAGTATAATTTTTGAGAAAACAGCGCCCTCAAGTATTATTAGAGGAAAATTGGTACTTACATAAAAAATTGTGAGCCATTAGTGTCTCTACCACGATTTGCCATTGACAATAAAAATGGCTTATCATGTTTCATAACAAAATTTTCATCTGAAAAAATGTCCAAATCATAAACACAAATGATAAACATCACGTTGTCATATTGAAGGGGTCAAGTTTTTAAGTTTGCACAGAATTTTGCACCAGAACTCTGTATATTCACCTGCAAATGTACCACCGTAAATAGATTCACCACCTGTTCCATTGCCTACTGAAAAATCTCCGCCTTGAATCATAAAATCTTTCACAACCCTGTGGAAAACAATGCCATGATAATGCAATGGTTTGCCAGTTGTTTTCCCAAGTCCCTTTTCTCCGGTGCACAAGGCGCGAAAGTTCTCGCATGTTATCGGACAGATGTCAGAAAAGAGCTCAAAGATTACTCTACCCATCGGTAATCCACCAACTTCGATGTCAAAGAATACTCTTCTATTAACCATGATGGTCTACTATCTGTAAATTTAAAGGAATAAACATTTAAGAAAGTATATGAGAAAAGCAATATACTGTGAAAATTTCAAATATTTTTAATGTAATATTATTATATTATTATTTAATAAATTAATAATATATTATTATATGAGTATATATGGAGAATTTTTACATATAACTACAATAAGAGAATAAGCAAATTTTGAAAAGTAGAGTAAAAAGTGAATTTTATAAGAATCATGAACATGAATTTTTATGCGATATCAATAGTGGTGCATTGTTTGCGATCAAATATACCAACGTATAGTCACGCGTAATACATTGTAATTCGCGTATAAACGTTAATTGTCAATACGGTATAGCCTCATAATCTCTCGTATATCTCGTATACTTCAAGATAATGACGTATGCACAAAAATATCAACGCATTGCTTTGAAAACGCAATAATGCTGATGACTCGGAAGGAAATGTTAATGACTATTGATTATTTGCATTCGTAAAAACTTCGTAATAATCGAATAAAGGTTAAGAGTTCACGAAAATTTACTGCGGCTTATCGCACGCGAGCCGTAGAAATACTTCAATTTTGCGGAAACATTTCAGAAGTACGGATTGGTAAAACTTACAAAATATATTCGGGGATGAAGTTTCGCGATATATACAAACTGCAATTCTTTTCGCCGAGATGTTCCCAAATGTTAGCGAGAGTCTATCATACTTCACTACGTTAACTAATGTAATGCTCTCTACGTGTTACGAGTTCCGCCACGAGAGGTGGTCGCAATATGTGGGTCGGTTTCTATTTGTTTAGCCGATATAGCACAGAGACATTTTATTGGCTACGTGTTATTTCGATACAATATACAACCAATGAGACCGCTTTGTGTTATTATAAATCATGCAAATGATGCATTCAGTACTATACCGAGATCTTGTATGTAATTGGTGTATATTTTTAGATCTAAAAGAATCTATCAAACAGATATAAGAGTTATCAAGCATTCAGTGAGCGGTACAGCATCGGATGCATCCATTGGCCGCGTTCAGCAGAAAATGCAGTTTGGCGCTGTTGTAAAATTCATGAATCTGATTGGTGTATGCTCTTAGGTCCATATTCTGAACTTTTTTTATCGATAAAAGTGCCGTAAATGCGGCCTCTCAGCCAATCAGGTAGTTCCTAAGTCACTTTTATTGAAAAGAATGCGGGCCTTATATTCAAGCAAGATTAAAAGTATACACCAATCATATTCACGAATTTTATAACAGTTGCAGAACAGCTTTCTTTGCACGCAGCCATTGATTACATAATTGTAAAAAAATCGAAAAATGATCCATCAATATTTATAACTTCTTATAACTATTTAATATTTACTGAATTGTTAGTAATAATATGAAGTCTTATAAATTGTAGTTGAGTCGTACTACTGAAAAGGCAAAGGAGTTTGTCTAATCAGCTGCAAATCGTATACAGATACAGTGCATCTGTAAAAATCATTCTACATTAATTGCAAGTCGAACGCCAATCAGAAGCGTCATCAGTATTATTGGCGATCCTGATTGGTTGTCGCAACAAGCATCGCGTCTGTTTGCGATCGACTTGAAACTAGTATGAAATGACTGACTGTGAAAAGAACAGACCTTGTATTTCAGTCCGAAAACTGGAGCATAAGTAATAGAAATACTGAGCGTGTAACTAAAACGAGTGATCTATATTTATGAAATACGCACATTTATAGTACACAATAGTGCATCAGGAAATCGTTGTGTCCCAAAATAGGTAAACGCGTATATTAAGGAAAAAAAGAAGACAAACCGTGAATAAATTCGTAGTCCAGAGTGCGACGTGACAATTCACGGAAGGTTGTAATCTTTATTGTCACCGTTCTTGAAAGATCTTGAGATTCCTTCATCTTCAATCATGGTATGTACGTAATAATAACCTAGCTTTTCGTAACTTTGGTTGATAATTTACGGAATTTGTGTTCAGGCACAGGAAGTCGAGGAAACTATGAAACGAATTCAGTCTCACAAGGGAGTGGTTGGGACAATAGTCGTGAATGCGGAAGGTATCAGATATGAAAGTATGACATTGCTTGTTTATGCGTACGCAGCAATTCATGAATTTCGTATATGTTTCAGGTATCCCGATCAAATCAACATTAGATAATACGACGACGGTTCAGTATGCAGGCTTGATCAGCCAATTGTCCGACAAAGCTCGTTCTGTTGTACGCGATCTGGATCCAACGAATGATCTAACTTTCTTGCGTATACGTAGCAAAAAACATGAAATTATGGTTGCACCCGACAAGGAATTTATATTAATAGTAATACAAAATCCAGTCGATTGATATTTAAAAGGAACAAAAGTATATTGCAAAATTAAGCTTTGTTTCCTTGATTGTTAATTTATTCCATATATGCTGCATTTGATTCCGATAAAAATTGTTTAACCATCGGCTCTAATAGAAAAATAAAACTAAGTAACTTAAATGTTATTTATTGTAACAGCACTTGTAGCTACTTCATATTGCTAAATTTTTTTGAAATTTTCGATTAAATATGTAAGTTATAAATTTGTGAATTGTGAAATAATACATCTCCTTATTTGTTTTTATTTTATTAAATTAATATCTTGTAATATTTTCACCAGATCGATTTGAAAATGGAGTGTGAATAAATATAATTACTCTTAAAGTATTTTAATTATCTCTCTATTATTTAATATATGTATATATCTGATTATATAATCATATAATATATATATATCGCAATAAACAAATGGAAGAAATATATCGAGTTAATGTAATATGTATTTATTTTATAACACAATATATGTTACAAGAAAGATACAAAGTTTTACAAAATATACAAATATAAAAGTAGTAAAATGATTATTGCGACTAGAAGTTGTAAAAATACAGATTTGTACATGATATATATATATACATATATATATATACATACACATATACAATTTGATGATTAGAAAAATTCAATAATACCTTAAGTTTATGTATTCTATATAAATACTTCTTTCCCTGAGAGTTATTCTTTTATAATTGAAATGTAAAAGTAAAAGATGCACTTACAAAGTTATAGTATGATTTGGCCTTTATGAATCAATTGCGATACACTTATTTACTTCATGTACAATATATTCGTCGGTTTTTGCAAAACCGTAATAATTGAAACAATAAAAATACAAGTAAACGTAATATCAGTTTGGCAAGAAATATATATAAATATGTACAAACTTATTTTATCGTCTTGTTAAAAAATCATATCATAAGCCTGAAAGATTAAATCAATTTCTATCTTCATTAGATTAACTGACATTATATTGTGAAAATGATAAGGAATTATGGTTTACCTTATTTGGGTACTTTATATTATTTTCTGCAATTTTTCTTTTCCATGTTCTTTCCTCGAATACCTATAATTACTTGAAATATGAAAGATTTAAAATTTAATGCAATTAATAAGGTAAAGGACATTTGTTTTTGAATGAATTATAAATATATATATAACTATAGAGAATATGTTATAATTATAATAACTAAGTACGACAAACTATAGTAATACTGACAATCCAGAAAAAATGTGATGATGAAATCAAAACAATATTCTTAATGCTAAAATAGAAATGATTCCGATTAAATTTGTAACTTATATTTTTAACTTGTATTTACGTGTGTAAAAATATTATATACACATATTATATACACATAGTAAGTATATGAAAATAAGTGAAATATCAAAGAGAAATACCCATACTGATACTTTTAGTCACCTTTTTTTCATGATATTAATATTTTAGATCGTTTTTTCTTGGAAAGGAATTTATAGTGCCAAATGTAAAGATATAAATTGTTTCAGTTTTCACTTGGTTTACAAAAAGAGAGACACACAAATGTCCTAAGTTTATGTTATTTGTGATACTGCCGAATGTTGTTTCTTTGAAGGATGGAATATAGTATAATAAATAATCATTGCTGCAATTCCCAAGAAAAAGGACAAAGTACAGAAAGCAAGACATACCTTGAAGTACCAGGCACATGTAACTTCTGCAGGAGAAGTGTACCCCCATACAACATTACATGCAATATTTTCCAAGAAACAGAGTATATAGAAAAATAAATGCTTCCAGAATGTATTGCTGTCTACCGTGTTAAAATATATGAAAATATGAATTATACCAATAACGGTTGCAAACAGTATGGAATACACATATTCTCGTAATTTCGGCTTAAGGTGCGGCGAACGGCTGTAATCCCGACAGAATTGCAACATTCCATGGGAATCGATCACGACCCATATTGTCATACATATCCAATGTATTATGCAACAAATTATAGTAAAAATAGGCCAAATGCTTGCGACGACACTGACCGACAGAATTCTTGCCACTGAAATTATAATATCACATAGTTTATCAATTAATCCCTCTTTTATTATCCTGTTATTACTTATGTAAATTTTAAAAGCTTGCAAAAGCTCATCCCGAATCATCGATAATTTTATCGGCTACTAAAACGAGATATTTTTATTACAAGGCTCGAGAAGAAATTGCACACGAAATCAAACGATGGAATGGTGATGAAAAATGTTTGTTAACAAAAAAAAGACCTTGATATGCATACATGTATTATTCGTTACATTAATAAAAAACTATTGATAAAAGAAACATAACTAAAACTTCGATAAACTTTTATTAAGCCCTTAACCGTTACAAAATTACCTGTAATGAAAAAATGCCAAAAAAACTGGACAGCAACTCCGACATTACTGATATTTGATTTATCTTGCTGAGCTAAACGAATGCTGCGATTGTAAGTGGCCATTGCCCAACCCATACTTCCAAGTGAGCTGACAATAGTAGCTACTTGGTGTACAACTGAAAATAATAATATGTACAGATATATTGTACATAATAAAGGTAAGGTTTAAGATAGTGAAATAGAATATTCAGGAAATAATATAAACAATAAAAAAATGTGAATGTTGTCGACTATCAATGTTTAAAAGAAAGTATAAAAAAATATAAATTTGAACCAAAATTAGAAAGTAATATACTTAACAAACTAACATACAATAAAAATTTATTTCATTATGACTCTTTAATAGTATAGTTAGCTGTAAAATCTGTTGCGGTGCAGCCTCCAGAAAACATTCAAACACTCTTAGTAATGCAACATCCTCAACTTCTGTGAGCATCTTTGAGTGATTTCGACTTGCATTGACACGATCACCAGATTTCCCATATTGGTATGCTTTTAATGCATACTTCATACTTTCATAATAATGTAAAACCGGTGCTAATTGGAAGATAACAGTAACCACAAAGCAATATTTATTTTTAATCATTATATGCGATATTTTGGTACCGTTTAAATCATTTGTACTTGTGTGTATCTGTAACAAAATATATACAAAAATTATTAAATTTTCTGCACAAACATCTAATATTATCTAATATTAAGATAAAAACATTATTGTGGCGCAACATTAATTATGTTTTTAATGTAATTAAATTAAAAAAATATAATCAACTGCAATAAATACGATCAAAAACCATACTTTACCTCTTTATCTTGATTTTGCATCCTCTTGCTGACAATGCAATTTATCAGAGATGGAATGACGATGAAACAAATAGTCCAGGTGAAATATGTTATCTTATTATATAAAAGATACTGTATGGCAATGTTATAATCAAATACCATATCTATAATATGCATAAGTATAGAACATATCGAACAGAAGATAAACCAATTGTACGTGCGAGGAGTCATTGTGATATCCACATCGTCACCGTCCAAGTGGTCATGGGGAAGTATTCTCGTAAGGTAGCCAGGGAGGCAATGTTCGTAGTTCCTTTCTCTCATGATATCCTGCAATTGTTTATGAGAAATATTGACATTATTTGTAAAAATTTACTCACGCACAGATATTGTCTATAATTACATTTGCTGTACATTCAGAATCACTTCCTTGAGTACACATTGTAAATTGCTCGACGGCACAGTATACTGTAAATAATTGACAACGTCAAAAATTACATGCGTATGAAAATATTACTTCTATATTCTCATAATAAGTCCTTTCAATATCTCGTGTGCCTCGAGTAAGACATTCCGTGTCCAATAACATTAGATCTGGTATGATTAATCACATTATGCACGAAACGTTAGGTTAGGTCACGATTGTACATATCGGGTATGTTGCAATTTTAATCTTCGTTGGATGTAGAAAAGTACACTAACACCTGTGCGAGTCATTAATGTCGCAAATAATGGCATGACAGTGCCGTGATGCAAAGAATGTAATAAAGGATATATAAACGAGAAAATTAAGACAACAGATACCTAACGCGGCCACACTCGCAACGAAAGCGCGGTACTGACAGCGTCATGGAACAATAGGCGTATTGTTTCCGATGGAAATACATGGAAATACATGTTATTGAATATAAGATAAACCAATCAACTCGTGACTCGTTTACCCTTTGTGGGAATTGTCACGTTTAACCGATCGCCTAAACCGTCAGTCTTTCGGCTGTTATCATCGCATGAGGTAGCATTTTAACGCGCTTTTCAATTCGGTCATCACTCGCTGATAATATTATTCAGATAAGCGAAGTCTCTAAAATACATTCTCTTCGCACTCGATCAGCTCGGAATATTATTCATTATAATTTGTCGAGAAGTATAACACGACTGCCTAATTATACTCGATAACGGGCACCTGCGCGCGGCAGGATTTCCATGCTCAAGATCTCTGTCGCGAATGTTCGCGAGCGCTCAGTATAATTGATATAGCGTGCGCCGATTGCTCGGATATCAAGGAAACGTCGACACGATCGACAAGATCTTTCTGGAAAGGCTTGCGACATTCCGTTGTGGAGTATCGGCCTCCAGCGACCCACCTGGCCGACGATGAGCGAAACGTGAGGTAAAAGCTCGGGTGTCCTCGGATGACCCACCTTGCCGTCGGCGGAATAGTTTCCTCGCAGCAGAACTGATTCGGCCGTAAACGACCCACGTTGCCGACGATGGAAGTCAGTTGTCGCCTTGTATGACAGACACTGGGTCTTCAGCGACCCATCCTGCCGGACGACGGAAATCGGTCTAACTTAACTTTTCATTATATTTATCATTATATAATTCAATAATTTTTCAGTAACTTTCATCTTATTGTTTATCAGATTCGCGGCAAACCAATATTGGAATATAAGTAAAAATAGGAATGTGAGGAAATAATATGAGAAAAATTGAAGTATACTGTTGAAATTTACTGAATTTAACTGAAAACTGCGCGCATTGACGGAATGATAGTAAAATGGGATCAATTGAGAGAGAATGTCAATGAAATTTTCAGCATAATATTTCCGTCAGTAGCGTGAGAAAAAAATGATCACATAGTAATAATAATAATGCCGCGAGAAGTAAACGCAGAACAGATACAAATATATTCTGTTGTTACAGCAATGGAGCGTATCAGAATCACCTTGACCGCTACTTACATAAATCCGGGATCGCGCGGAGCAGCTGGCAGTCCGTTGAACAATCGAAGAAAGAGTGAGTTAAGACTCGGAATAAATAAAGCAGCCGCTTCTTGATGTCTCAGGCGTATCAGGTAGGTAATCCTAGTATTATTAAGAATTAGATAATTGTTTGTGTTGTGCGTTCGATAATAATTTCGTGATAACGTCCTGAGTTCTCTATTCGATAAACGTTCAAGTTCGGTCGTACAATTCCTCAACATGCCGCTAAATAGCAACGCACATAATTGTTTGCATTAATATTTGGACATTAGGAAAGAGAAATTATTATTATTTTGAAGATACGGATTTATATTCTATTGTTGGATAATAGGTTGTACTTGGATAATGGGTTAATTATTTTTTATTAAATGAACACACGTTTATTATAATTGGCTGGTACATAAATTTTATTAACATCATTAATATAGTTTTGAATATGCAAAACGGTAAGATTATGTCTATACAAAAGTCAAGCATCGCCGAAATATTGGGATATTTAACAAGATTCAATATAAAAATGTATACATAAATGAAGTTAATATAATACATACGTCCTGTTTAAGTTCGGTTTATTCACGTGATAACCTGTTTACTCGAGAATCTATATGTAATGCCCATACAATTATTTACATTTGTTGTACATTTCTGTACTCACTCTCTCTCTCTCTCTCTTCCAATGTAAAATAATTAAATAGAAGTGAAAAACGTTTATTTCTTAACTGAAAATGTATTTAGGAAGCAAGATACTAAAAAGATAATTTTCATATCTCTCCTAATGTTCTCTCCACTCTCTCTCTCTCTCTCTCTCTCTCTCTCCACTCACGTTCCATCCCCTTCTCCTCTCTCTTTTTCTCTCTCTCTCTCTCACACTCTCCTCTCCCCTCTCCTCTCTTCTATCCTACATTCTCACTGCTTTCCAATGCTTCACATCGGTTTTAGTTCCGCATGTTACCGCTACGTGGCGCCAAGCAATTTTCGCTCACGCACAGTTAAATTTACACCGACTACGTTATATAAAGGCACCAGAAGTAAGGGTTGGCATCGCTTCTCGGCTCTCTGAGCTAAGATCAAAGTGTAGTATCTGTTCTTATCAGCTTAATATCTGATACAATCCCCAAAGGGGATTCAGAATATTAAACTGATTTTTGGAGCCAGGAGGGTGACCGGAGCTTGCTCCGACCCCTCCGCGGGTCGGCCCGGCATTGCAGTGCCGTCGGGTTCGGCCCAATTATCTATTCCAAAGATTAATTTACTATATTTACTTACATTCTTCACTTTTTTATTTTGAAAAAAGCTAAGCATCATCGCCGGTGGCGATTATAATCGGGTTTTCGTTGTTCGGAACTTCACGCGCGTTGCATCTGGCGTTGACCGCATGTTTACCTTTTAAGACTTAGTAAAAAAGGGGCGAGTATAGTGCGGTGTAAGAGGTTGCAACATCATTGATTCACACCACCACCGTTGCACCGTATCGGACTGCTACCGCGAAGAGTGACTGTGTGCGCGGAGGACCTAGCCGAGGGGACGTCGAGGACCGCCGATAAGTATACATTTTCGTTCCTTTGTCGGGACCCGCGCGCTTGCCTTCTTTAAAATACACTGCACGCGGGTGCTGCACCACTGCCGATCGGAGGGAAGTGACGCGAACCTTCCTCGTCGCGACGCGTTGTTCGCACGAGCACTGTCCACTCGCGGCGAGGGTGTTCGCCGATCCCCATCGGTGGTGGTCCCCCTCCATAACTGAAAATTTGTTTTTTTTTGTTTACTTCTGCTCGCGGCACGAAGCGCGCGGCGACAGCTGATTGGCTGTCGCGTCCGTGCCGCGAAGCGTAAATGCAAAAAACATGTCGGACGACGGCCCGAGGATCGTGGTCGTCCCGTATCCTCCTCTCGAGAGGTCAACTGTCCGCGGTGTCGTCCGCGGGGCGGCCCGGCCCTCAAAGGGGCGCGAGGAACGTTCCGCGACCCGGCGCATCTGGCTAAACACCAGAAGGCGCAGCATCCGGGAGACACCATGGGCTATGGGTGCTCCGTGTGCGCCAGGGGGGAACCACGAAGTACCCCCTGAGAGTAGTGAAGGCACACCACGAGGCGGAGCACTCGACTCTCGGTGCTGGCGCGACTGCCGCCGGGTCGCGGTGACGCTTTTCGCGTCCCGCGGCGACGACGGCCGCCATGTCGTCGGCGTCCGCGACGCGTGCCGGAACATCGGGCACGTGGACGCGTCCGGGGCGCGTATCCCCGACGCCTGCCTCCGACGGCGAGCGGCGGGTCACGCGGAGCGCGGCAACGCGAGGACGCGCGCACTGCCGTAACACTGCACCCGCCACACACAACACTGCACACACCAACGCGCACATATCACCGTCGCTGGCGACGTAAGTGACACCGTCCTCGTCGGATGAAGGAGGCACCCCGGATTCCGGAAACAAGGGCGGCCGTGTCCGCTGCACCGGGTTGCGCGATCGCCATGTGCGTGACACCCATAGAGATATAATACGAGGGCAGTCCGATAAGTACTTAGCCTACAAAAGAAAAACGAAAATTTTGGAAAAGTGGCGATTTATTTCTAACATAGTCTCCTTTTAGCTCGATACACTTGACCCAGCGATGCTCCAACTTCTTTAACCCATCTGAAAAATACGTCTTCTCGAAGTCTGCAAAGTAGGCCTCCGTGGCGGCGATGACCAAGCAAGAGATTCTTCGTGATCATCGACAGCAATTAATTTATTTGATCATACAAAATTATTTGGACAAATGCTTAAAACATGAAAGTGAAAAACTTTGTGACGTAAAGTATCGTGTGAGAATGATGTACAATAAAATAACAATTTTTAAAGGTCAATAGATTTATGTACGCGCCAAAAAGTTTATTGTAAATACGGTTTTTTTTCATTTGTTTAATAAAGTTGGCGGATTTTTTCATTTATTTACATTTTATGATTTGGCCTGCATGTTGCATCTCTTATAAATTGCTCAATAATTACATAGAAGAAAATTGCATTTATAACCGTTTTACTGGTGAAAAATAATGTAAGCCGCAGTATGAACAAATGATACAATGCGTGAGTAATTTAAGTAATAATCGCACCAGATCGACGATCACAGGCAGCCGCTTTCAGTGAGATTAGTNAATTGCTCAATAATTACATAGAAGAAAATTGCATTTATAACCGTTTTACTGGTGAAAAATAATGTAAGCCGCAGTATGAACAAATGATACAATGCGTGAGTAATTTAAGTAATAATCGCACCAGATCGACGATCACAGGCAGCCGCTTTCAGTGAGATTAGTCGTAGCCAATCAGTGAAGAGGGCAGAGAGAGATGCAAGACAACTGCTGTCTTCTTTCTCTCTCTACCGCCGGGACAAGATCATGGCAGTCTTCCCTACTCTATGTATTATATCTCCATGGGTGCGAACGCCGGCGCGGCCGTGAAGAGCGCGCCACGTACCGGAGCGGTGGCCCGTCGCGTCAGGCATAGCTGGCGCCACGAGTCGGGTCGGCGCGAGTTCTTTGAGTCGCCGCCCAAGGCGCGGCCGGCGCACCTGTCGCCGCCTGGCGGAATATCACTAGGCGGCGGGCTGGTTTACACCACCTGCGGATGCGTTCGTGAGCCCTCGCTCTCCCGAGTCGGTCGTATCGAACACAGCCCGGGCGATGCACGCGAGCGCGCCGATCGCGAACGACACGTGCGGGCGAGAACGGGAGAGGTTCGCCGACCGCCGGGGCGACCTTCCTCGTGTTTTCGCCCCGCGGCACTCCACCGTCCATCCGTGGAGGCCGGCAATTCCACCGCCGCATTTCTCGTCCGCGACGTCTTCGTCGGCTACGCTGACGACGGTGATGTCGTGATGACGGTGGCGGGGAGCTCTATTATGTTCACAGGCCCCGCTCTTGGATGATGACCTGTTTTGTCACCCTGAAGGCCCCTTCTGGACCTTCCTCACGCACGCACTGCGCCGTGTGGAGGCTTTCTCCCCTATCCCGAACGCCTAAGTCTTTCGTCGGACCTAGGGGTGGGGTGCTTCAGGTGCCACACAGTGACCACCTTTAGCCGACGATGTGCTCGGAGTCCTCCTTGATCCACTGTACCGATGATGATGGTCGGTGGTGTCGCCGCCGATGCGACTTCTCTCTGGGTCCCGAGTCACCCACGATGCTGACGATGGAAGCCGGTCTGAGCAAACTTCTCCGAGAAGTGACACTCCCGGGTTTCCCACGAAGAAGGATTCCCCGCCGTCGGCGACCGGGCGCGCTCCAGGAATCTCCTCCTCAACCCCCAAGGATAGATATTGGAGACCCCGGGTACCTAGAGATGAGTTGCCAAGCTTCGCGCGATAACACCGAGTCGCAGCGAACGGTGATCCACACCGAACGCTGCCGGAGGAATCGTCTCTGGTCAGGGCGTGAGAGGCACGTTTTTTTGAGCTTGCGGAAAAACGTATGTATCCAACGTGGACCGATTTGCGTTCATCGAGCTACCCCTTGTCCTTGAATCCGATTTAACGGATCCCAGTAGAATTGCTTCGTGGACGAATCTTCCGACCCTCGTGCCTCGGAAGATCTTGTGACGCTCACGGCCGAGTGCGGAACGGAGTTCCGGCACCAGGAAGATGATATTTGAAGAAGAGTTAATGACATCACACCAACCAACGCCGACCCGTAGAATACCAGAAACACACATTCGAAAATGCACGGATAGGCGCCGCCGCTTTTTGATTACCGTTCTCCTCTCCTCTCTCTTTCTGTCGACCTGGGTGCGGTATGGCAGACGAGAACGGGAACCCTTCTCTCTCTTTTCTCTGAGCGTTCTTATATATCCGCCAGCGAGCGAGATTCGCTCGTGGGGGGGATGCTGTCCATCCTGAGCCGGCGTGCCGCAAGGCGGTGCGCGTCCACCAGCGCGCACGAGACTACTACTAATCCTCCTCTCCCCGGCGGTCGAGAGTTTTGCTCGATTCGCAACAATCCGGTATAAAGAATTGCGAACCAAAGAAAACCACTAAAAAAACCTGATCTGATACAGGGAGACCTCTGAAAATACTTTTGATGTATGCGCCGTTATCGAAAAAGAGTATCACTATAAACCGTAAACAAAAAAGGGGGACTCTACGGTTCTCAGGCGCCCATAGATATAGTCTTGCGAGAGTAAACTTTCTCACGAGCAAAGTGGTTAGCTCATCGCCACCTCGCGGCGTCCGTGGCTACTACCTCGGGCAGCCGAATTCACGCGCGAAAGAGGTTCGCATTGCTGCCTGCGAGAAACTCGCGCCTGAAAGTCCGGCAAACGTGATGCGGCAGAACGGCACCGATAGCCGAATCTTCAGGTTTTATTCGCAACATACATCTATATTTTATTTATATGTATTATTCATATATTATTATTATTTTATTTTTTTTAATATTTTGAGAACGCTTATAATTTACCGAGAATATGTGAAGGGATAACACGAATAGAACGTTTCTATAATATTAAAAATATTATATAACATTCTTAAATATTATAAGAATATTATTTTAATATTGAATAATATTCATATAATATTGAATAATATTCATATAATATTCTGGGAATATTAGACGCAGGGAATATTAACGCTTATAGGACTGCGGCGAATTTCACCCGATCCGCAATGTGTTGAAATCAGTGAGAAAATTATGTCAAATACCGGAAAATCTATTTTAAAAGCACTTTCGGAGCTAAATTTGTACGTTCATTGCAATTAGCGTCAAAAGCATGAAAAACGAAAATATACAAGTCATTAATTGTAAAAAATACTTACGTGATTTGCAATCTAGGTGACTAAGGGAGCACAGGCTCATAGAGGAGGAGACCGAGGGCTAGTTAAGCTAAAGGGGTAAATTGGCAAAATTGATTATTCCTCTTGTTTTTTAACAGGTAACAGAATCGAGCAAGTAGGGATCTCATAACCATTTTCGACATGTTTAAAATCTCTGCTTGCTCGATTCTGTAATTCGTTAGAAAGTAGCAAAAATAATTAATTTGCCAAATTATCCATTTAACCCCAGATTATTCCAACTAGCCCCGGCCTCCCCTATTCCCAGATAGACAGAAATGCTGAACATAGTATGCAAACATTTAATGTATGCTTTGTGAGGCCATTGTAACAGCACGTGTTTTAAATATGCTTGTTTAAGAAATACTCATTTATCATGCCATAATTTTCATCAAAATATTGACTTCTTACTACTACGATAAGTCTAAATTCATTGCGTTTTTTTGGGGGCAAAATAAATAGCAATATCTATGGTGTCAGAATATTGGCACAATTTTCACAGCATCAGATGATCTTTTTTATACTGACAAAATATTTGTTGTATGAAGACGCATCCTGACGTACTTTGAATCATTATGCAGACAATATACCAAAATATGTCAATTTGAATTGTAACTGTTCTTAATAGAAAGCGAAAAACTGGATATTTTCATCTTTAAACATAAATAAATGGGATAACCTTCTTATCTACTAATTATTTTAAGACTTACGGTCAGAGAGTCGACGAGGCCTTCAATGACCCACGTTGCCGACGGAGCTTCAATTTATTAAAATATTAAATACCGATATGTTCAAATAATCGAATACGAAATAATTTTGGAACTGATCCTTTAAGGCTCCGGAGTAGTCACAGTGACTGTCCTTCTTTAATGACGTCAGAAGCGAGAAAACGCATGCCGAGATTTTTTGCGTTATATTTTCAAAGAAAAAGACGTATCTACAAAATGGCATTTGTGATCGATTCAGCGAACTTCTAAAATTGGACGAACATTTTTCTCTTATTCGAACAACCAATAAATAGTAGTAAAATTAACACGGACAAAATCACGAGAAAAGAAGTTAGAAAAGAACTCCACGTCAAGTTAATTTTGCGACTATTTATTGGATTGTTCGTATAAAAGTGTTCGTCCAATTTTACAAGTACGTAGAATCAATCACAAATATCGTTTTCTGGACATATGTTTTTATTTAAAGTATATAACGCAAAAGATCTTGGCACGCGTTTTCTCATTTCCGACGTCATTAAATAAGAACAGTCATAACGATTACTTTGGAGCCGCAAGTAACTGTGCAAGAAACGATAGTGACCGTTTGTAGCATCAAAAGTAGGCCAATAGCTTATGTAATATTACATTTCAAGATTCGACACTGCCTTTTAAGCCCCAAAAAATATGCGGGATTAATACAGAAGCAGAATTTCGACTCGGGAAACATTGCATCCGCGACGAGGACGACGAGCGCAGGAGGGAAAAACACACGCGGCCGACAACATTCTCAAAGTGCTAATTTTATTTATAGGTTTTTCTTTATGACACAAATCACTTTTAGCATCTACATGAGTAAGAGTACAGGCTATACGAGAATGAATTTGATACAGATCACTTATTAGTGTAAATACAATGTTTCTCCTCAATTACACGCTATTAACTAGATACTTAGAAAACACTGTACAACGCAGCTGAGAACTGTCGATTGATACTTTACAATATGGTACAACCACTCCTTGAAGCGAGACACGAGCTACGAATCCGACTCGTCCGCTCGAGGACCTTTCCATTTCGTCGCTAATAAGGGGAGAGAGGGGGGGGGGGGGAGTATCGTCGGCGACTCGCGGGATTAACGACGCGCGCCTACGGCTTTCTCTCTCGGATATACCCTTCTCTCGTGCGGACTATAGGCCATATCGAGCGAGTCTGCCCGCCGAGGATCGCATTCTCCCGGAAGCACGCGCGTATCCTTGCACCAACAATGTCCCCCGCGAGATATCGAACGTAACTCCCGGTGTCACCGTGGACACTTCGCCGCCGTCGCCGAATCCTTCGCGACGTAGTCTCGTTCCTAAGCAAAGTGAAGGAGGAGGTAGCGCGACGCGAGCGGGCTCAGAGAATACCATCGATATCCCCCTCCTTAGAAGAGGATCTTCATCAACCTCAGTGTTCAAAGGAGCGATCGTCGATGTGTGTCAGATTGTCCGTCGACCGTCGCTTCCGCTCGCGTCACCCTCCTCGTACAGTCATCGTTGCATACACGCACACGCATACAATAATACATCGCACGACTTCGCGAGTCTTGTATTCTCGTCTACTGGCTACGTCTGTCAGTACGACCCCGGTGGTGGTGGTGATGTCGCTGATCCGCCGCCTCTTCTTCTCTCCGTGCTCCTCTCGTGAGACGTCCGCTGGTCGTCGTCCTTGCCTCGTATTCACTCGACAGAGCGATACTTCGCTTCCTCGATCGAACGCTTCCCGGAGTCTACGTGTTTCTTTCTCTCCTTCTCGTTTTCTCATCGCCCACGATGGATTCGCCCGAGTGCTTCGAACTACGGGTGAATTCGCGTTTTCTCTCTTCACGCTCACGGTTTCACTCGGTCCCCTTCGTCTCTTCCTCTCGGTAACATACAGAACGTTCGACGAGCGAGATCGGGATGAGGCTTACGATATTACCGTGAAGCTAGCTTCTTACAGAGAAATATTTGGAAGCGTCCCTCCTCCGCCGGGTTTACACGGACCGCGTTTACATGGCAATCTAAAGTCGAATTGGTGACACCCGTGATCTACGTTCGCACACGACCAGGGGTAAAGTCGACGTGGTAATTCTCTATGTTGCGACTATTAATGTTACATGCCATATTACATAATTATCTATACATATAACATGGATAATCGCACCAGCGGAAATGATTAAATCGATTCTATGCTGTGTGTTCGCGTATAAAACGTACATCATGGAAGTTACTACATCAGTTTTAGATTGCCCTCAAAACGTACTCACAGCCTGTGGATACAATGTAGAACAGCTGTTGCCTACGACATATCCAAAGCCCAATGAAATCGACGAGAGAGACGCTTGCACACGCTTCCTCGTTAGTTATGAGTTTTCAGTCTGCTCGACGAGTTCGATCAGTAAACGAAGAAGGCGGGAAGGTAGAGGAGAGGGAGAACGGTGGTTGAAGCGAAGGAAAAAAAAAAAAGAGGTCGAGGGCAAAAATTCGCGTCGATAAGCCCTGTGGTTCCACTGACTAACTGACAGAACAGACGACGTTCTTCGACGGGTCGTAATATAAAAACAATATGTATTATCGGTAATATTGGCATTGGGTGTTGTTATGGCACATTCAATTTGATGCTACACTCTGCGACGCGTTTTCTTCTTCACACAGCGGCTGTCGTGTTACCCCGCTGCACAGACACCGTGTATGATCTATTCAGTCGGACGACAGAGAGGGTGGGAAGGAACAAAAGAGAAAGAAAGATACAGGAAAAAGAACACATTGCAAAAGGGAGAGAAGCAAAGGGGGAGAGCGGAGGGGGGAGGGAATTCATTTTCATCGACGTTCGCGTGTATACTGGCGTAACCGTCTATACTTTTCGTTTTTCGTGGTGGCGCAGAAACACGCCAGATCTTCGGCTCTCTCTCTCTCTCTCTCTCTCTCTCTCTCTCTCTCTCTCTCTCTCTCTCTCGCTAGCTCGCTTGCTCGCTCGCTCGAGACCTCTCTTCATTGCACTTTCCCATGCGCCGCAACAAATGCTCCTTTAACACATTTATTTTACTTTTTTTTACAAAAAAAAAAAGAAGCTGCTTCCATCCTCCATAAACGAACGCACGCAGAACAACCGTAACAAAAGATCCCACTATAACACGCCTTCTCTCACTTTCCGCCTGGTAAACTGGTAAAAAGGATTACACATTGCACCGAGATGTCGCATGTAACAAAAAATCGATCGCTATTAATATACCGTTGCAATTGTGTGCTCGGTGTGTTCGACGTATCGCGCATGTTCAACGCGCGATTCCAAGCTGCTTTCACAGAGTGACACTCTGAGTTACCCTCCGCTGCTGCGAATAAACTTCGAAGGAACTCTCTTTCAGAGACCGTCGTCTGCAATGGCCGTAAAATATTCGACAAGAGACGTAAGCAGTGAACCCAACTGACCGATCAGATCATTTCATACAGTTTAAGAATAATCGACTGTGCTCGGCCAATCAGCTTACGTCTTACCGCGTACTTTACGGCTAGCGCAGACACGAGGGCGGATTTTCGTCTTGTGAATCGAAAATATCGAACACGTGGAAGATGAAAAAGAACCGCACAGTCTCTCGGCGATACATCTTGTGCCTCCTCGTAGTGTGTATACGTAGATGGACCCCGTAGATGACTCCGCGTGTTGCAACAGTCCGGTCACGTGGGTCCGCCCAGGGCTACGCAACACTGATCGCCGGGTTGGAGGGGCCCGAGGGCGCGGGCTCGCTCTTTATACACTGTCCGGTCAGCTGGTTGACGCTGAGCGGATTGTTGATGTCGTGCGGATTCGTGCCGACGGGATTGCGATGAGGTGGCGGGGGTGGCTGCTGTACCACCGCCGTCGCAGTCGCCGTCGCTGTCGTCGCGGCCGTCGTCACCGCCACCGCTGCCGCCGTTGTCGTCGAGGTCGCCGGATTGTGCTGGCTCGTGTTCGGCAGGGGCGGTGGTGGCACGGGGGGCGTCAACGGACACGGGTACGGGCTGGCTAGGCTCGAGGGCGATGGTAGGACCAACGACGGGCTCGCCAGACTAGACAACGCGGATAGGCCTCCGGGACTGCTCAGGGACTCGTCGTCCTCGGGAGTGCCTGCTTCCCCTACGCTGCCGAGATTGTCCTCCGAGTGGTCGTCCTCGCCTTCACCGTCAGCTTCGCCGTCGCCGTCTCCTCCCTCCCCCATGTATCTGATACATTTCTTCTTACGTCTGCAAATAAGGACCGGGAGTCGATTAGTGTGCGCGTTCCGTCCGGGTGCACCCCGCGGGTGTACAATGTGGTCGTGTGATTACGGCATTTCCATCTGTGAGTGAGCGCTGGGCGCGGTTCATCTCGATCTCTACTTAGATAACGACAAATGGATATTACATTTCTCTCCTCGGGTTTTGTTTTATGTACGTGTATATATATTTTCTTTTTTCTTTAATGAAATAGAGAGAACTACGTGCATCTCTGGGCGTTGGGAATTTATCGAAAGCAACTATCACCCATAGTGCTGTTAGCACCACACTGAGGAAAAATACTTAAAAATGTATTTGCGGAGTACATAAGGTTTATTCCACACACAGAGATAAGATTTATTTCTGTGAAATAAGTCTTATATCCCACGAATGAATTTTTACACATTTTCTTTTCAGTGCAGCTGCCACCGGCAGCTTCAAGTGTGCACGACAATTCGATAACTTGATTATTAATGTTTGGGTTTTTAAGCTAACTGCACGGAGAAAAAGACCGATTGAATCGGCATGACAATGAACGAACCGAACGCGTCTTGGAGGGAAGAAATCAGACTTTTTGCTTCTAAAAATCAAATTTGATCTATAAAACGTGACGGAAATTCCGTTTCCTTCAGGCAAAACATGTTTGGTCCGTTCACGTTGTCACGTTGATTCAACCGGTTTTCTTTCTCCGTGCACCTCGACTGCTTGATTCGACTTCGATTACTTTCCGCATTTTCGCGTCAAACTTGGACGCTCGATGGAATTCTCACCGATGGAAAGCGTCGTGTCCGTCAAGAATTGGTTACATCTAGAATTGTTACCAACTAAAAAAAACATGCGATCACTCGTCATCATTGCAAAGTCAGACGCACAAACTGCGCTTCTCGCGCATTATTAATCGTCATCTCCGCGAATCGGGCTCTGTCCGATCGTCAGAGCGTCCAACGATCCGACACTTTGTGCGCCTGCCGATGCTTCCATTGCTCGAGACACTGACCACTCGCTCGCAAATGCCATGCTCAGAGATCCTTAAACTTAACAAGCACAACTGTGATAAGAAATCTTTACGTGAAAACGAAAGAAAACTCAACCGAAATCGCCAGGAGGGCATAATCTAGAACGAAGGTCTCGATCATCCGCAGGTCGATACGGGGGAAACTCGCGCGAAACTTTTTCCTTCTTCTCTTCCTTCTTATCTCTCTCCGTGCTTTCGATCGTTAAACTCTCTCGTTTGCCGATCAACGGAGGCGCGCTCACGCGCACGCAGGCGACCGGTATATGTTACTTGTGGAACTTGGAATACATCCGGGTTAATTGCGAAACGCGCGGAAGCGAAGCCTCTCCTCCACAGTCCCGTCGAAAGTGGAGATGAGACGACTACGAACAATGGTAGATTTGCGGACGACGAAGAGGAAGAAGAGAGGCGGATATTTGCTACTGCACAATTTTCAAAAGTGAGCCCGTCCGACCTCGTGAGAAAAACTGCCTCGCAGTCGAGACACATGTATTTTTTTTTTTTACCGCTCTGCCATTGGCTCTCATTATTTATCTCTGCAGCTAAAATCAGTCAGTTATGTCGGCCGTGCTGTGAACGACGGAAGGTCGTCGCTTGTTAACTCGCAGCCACACTCGGATCTCAAAAGCGTTGCGCAAAAACTTACAGGGAGTTAAGCTCACTCCTTTTCAGCGCGCGACAACGGACGGCGTTCGAGGTCTCACGCTGGATTGCAACAACACAACGTTTTATATTCCTTCGTCAGACGAGTCGTCCGAGAATTAGCGAGAATTGGTAAATTATTATGACAAGGTGTAGCGAAAGTCTCAAGACTCCGGTTACGTCGGTTGTATTTTTCATATGCGCGTTATTCAGATATTTAAGGATATGAAGGAATACCGTTTGGTTTCTTGTTTTTTCAAATAAAAAATTAAACAATGATCTTTCCTTGCAATCCAATTCGAGACTTTGACCATTTCGAAATTGTGCTGAATTCCGATTCAAATTCCATTCTACGCAGTCGGCCAGCGTAGCTTCTGTTCTCAAGGAAGAGTGCCTGACGAGTGGTTATATGCACTATGGCCAGTATTCTGAACTTCCTTTTATTGACAAAAGTGTCTCTAAACGGAGCTGAGAAGCTACGTTTAAGGCATTTTATCGATAAAAAAAAGAATTCAGAATACGGGCATGTATAAAGAATACGTTATCACGTTATGTAAAAAAATATTACAAAAGAAAGTCATTAGACATTAAAAATAAGAAAAAAAAAGTAGGAACACATCCGTACAACACAATCATCTGGTCTTAATCGTACGAACTGCCATGCCAAAAAATTAGGATATATATGTATGTAAAAATCGTCTATGTGTCAAACGTTACGAAATCGGACCAAATAACTGTTACATGTATTATGTATATAAATATACATATATATACGTAAATATATGTATATACAGTAAATATATTTATTACAGACCAGCCATGCTAAGGGCAACACTGAGTAAATTCCAACTAAACGAGAGGGTAAATAAATCACAATAATAAGCTGAAAGAGCCACAACAATGAGAAACAATGCGAGCACCGGGCCGCCGCCGTGTCGCTCACTATGGCGCCTACTAGCTCGTATTTATTTTCCCACGACATTATTCAATCGAATCACGAACGTCCGGTTTGCGAGCAAAAAAGAAAAAAAAGAGAGAAAAGGAAAGAGAAAGAAAAAAAAAAGGAACTTTCTTCTCGGTATATCCAGTTACCGCTGGATGGGACGACAATATCTCGAGCTATCTTTTCGAGCAGCTGGTCGACCATAGCGAGGACCAACGGGGGCCCGTAGGTTTAAGTCGGGACTGACCACTGTTTAAGAAGAAGTGTTGCAGTAGAAGGGAGGCGATAGGCTTGACTAGAGATTAACATAAGTGGGTTCTTGCTGAGGCGAGGAGGCATTGGAGGCAGTGTTGGTGTTTGGCGGGGCGGCGGCTGTCCCCACCGTCCCTCCACCGCCTCCAGCCCCGACCCCTGCCCCCGCGCTACTTCCCACACCGTGATGGATTATGCTCGCGTGGATGCCCATCCCCGCTCCATGCTCCACTGGGCTGCCAAAACCAACCACCAGCCATTAAAGGGGCGCTCTCGCTAAGACACATCATCGTCGACTTAATCCCACCTCAATCTCGCACCGCATCGTGTCGTCACCCACACGCACGTGTGTCATCGTTTCATTACGTGTCGGGGGATACCCAATATATATACATACATATACATACATACATACATATATATATATATATATATATACATATACATATATATATATATGTACACAAGTGGTTCCCCGCTATTTCTCGCATTCGTTCTGTCATTTTCGTTTCCCGGACCACTCGCGACAGGCTGAGAAATCGCGAGAGCGGAGCCGGCGTTCGTCGGGATTCGACGCGCGCGACACGCGATAGCCAATCTTCACGGTGCGATGAGATACACGCGACACCCCCTTTCGCCGATTTACTTTCCTTTTCCTTCTTTCATCGCATCAACATAAGCTTTCGAGAGAAATAATGGCCAGACAGACGGTGAATTTCGACGAGGAATGCTTCAGCGATATCGGACGAAACAACCCCCTGTGACGGTTGTTGTACGTGTAGGTACCGCAGCGTTGCCGGCCCCGCTGGAACGAGCTCGACGGATCTCAAGTGAGTGGAACGAAGAAAGACGGGCGGAGGGTAACAGTGACGGCGACTGTTGATCATTGATCAGAAAATATGTCTCCCAAATATCCGCACTGATACGCGACGTTGGTCCGGAATTTGTCGGCTCAGGGCGCCTGGTAGCACCTGATGTGAGATCGTTCGTGGTTCGCTCTGCGATCTTTCATTTCTCTAAAATTGCGCATGTATGCGTTTCTCAGGCATCTCTCCGTGCGCGCGCGCGCGGCAATATCGAAACGGCGTGTAAAGTCGAAGACACAACGACGACTCGCATAGTAGTCGTAAGTAAGTCACGTGCATTCGATGCAAAGTGCAGTCGGCTAAGTCCAAATACAACAAACTAGCTGTGCGCTTCTGGCGAATTCCAACGACGATCTCGCTGCTTTCAGCGAATTTGGCAGAAGCCTCCGACGAAATTTGGCAGGACTAACATAAGCCAAAGAGACAGAAGGAAAGAAGAGAGAGAGAGAGAGAGAGAGAGAGAGAGAGAGGGAGAGAGAGAAAAGAGAGATAGAGAGAGAGGGAGAGAGAGAAAAGAGAGAGAGAGAGACAATTGCACAGTGATTACAAATCGCTCAAATGTACACGACACGAACTTTGCACGCTTCTAATTCATTCCCATGCACGCGGCGCACGTCGATCGTCGTCTCGTCGTCGCAATGACTGCGACGACGCGGGTGTACCGCGCACGGAAGAAGACAATTCCGTTTCGTGTAACTGAATTCATTTTTCGTCGCCCACATGGAAAAAAGAGGAATCATTTGTCCATATAATACAACTGAAATTTAGTTATCAGGCCTAATTTTTATCTGCGGGAGCTAAAAACTAGATACAAGGACATAAAAAATTTTAGCTCGAAAAAATTTCAGTTTTATCGTATGCACATGTTAATTTTTACTTGCAGGAGCTATTCTCTTGTTTTCCGTGCAGAGGCCGGACGAAAACTCGACCGCGAGAGCGGAAAGTTTCCTGCAAGACGAATTCTTATTCGGTCGATCGCTCTCAATTGTCCCGGCCGAGTTTTAACCGAATGTTCTCACAGTCGCGATGAACAAAGATGTCATTTTCTCATCACCGAGTTTCCATCCGGCTTTCCCATTCAGTTGCAGAAACCGAGTGTTTTTTCCTTCCCGTGCGCGAGAATCTAGGAAGACCATGTTCCCTTCCGCCGACCGACGAATAGTCGCGCGCTGTCGAAACGGCGGATCGCGAGACTATCTCTTTTTCTTTTCTCTCGTCGTCAGTTAATCGTCGATGGGATTCGTCCTCGCCCCTTTAATGAGGTCCATGAGATTCACAAACCCAGCCGGGAGTTGGGGCATTTGGGCGTACTGTGCCGTGACAACGGCTACAGTGAGTAGTAGTAGTGGTGGTGGTAGTAGTAGTCGGCGCTAAACGGGCAGCACGTGACACACCGCGACAAACTACGAGAGACAGAGTGTGCGCTTCTAGATATAACCGGTATTTACAACAAGCCAGGTACGCGATTGGACGCTCCCCACCTCCGTCCTCTACCGGGGAGGACCGCTCGCGCGTCCATCTTTCGGCTTTCTCTCCCGCGAAATGTTCATCTTTCGCCTGCTTTCCCCCTTCTCCTTTCTCTCTTTGGAAGACACATTTTCTGACGGTGTCGCGCAGTTTCGTTGCGCTCACGCATTTTTTTTTTTTCCCCAGCTTCTTTCCTCGTTCGCTCTCTGCGCGCTCGCGGATTCGGCAGGGAGTACTCCCGGGGAGCACCGTCGCCGCGCGGAACGCGAGTCGTCCCCGATACGAGGCGAACCCGCCGTGTTTCTCGGCGTTTCGCGTCGCATCGGTTCGCTCATGTATATGTGTGCATATGTGCGGGGTACGTGTGCCTGCGTGTGTGCATCGAGAAAAAGATTTCTTCAGATTTAATAGGATCTTATTGCATCCAAACGAATGTCATCATCGGCGTGCTCCGAAGAAATTAATGTCTCGATTAATAAGTACAATTGTTAGACGTTTTCGACGGAAATATTATACGCTTGGTCTTAAACGAAAAATCGGTTTGAAACGAAAGATAATTTTCCCATAAAGAAATTATTTGTTTCGTTCTACATATTTATTGTAACCAGATAATTTATCTGGCTAAAAGATATTATTCCAAATAAAAGCGTTCTTTCTGTTGAATAACAGAGCTCTTTCTTGAGTGAAACAATATCGTTTTTCGCTCAAATAATATTTCGTACATGTTGTTTCTACGAAACAAATTTTAGTCAAATAAATAGAAATATTAAATCTAAAGAAATCTTTTTCTCTCTCTCTGTGTATATGTTTATGTGTGTGTGTTCTGTGTGTGGCGCGTAGTGCATGAATTATACGCCGTGGAGGTGCACAGCGCCGTTTGGTGGCGCGTTCCCCTCTTTCAAGTTCCACGGTAACATGTGGATGACGGAACGGGCTCCGGGTACGAGACCGATAGGAGGCAACGAACGTCGAGGATGCTGAAATCGCGCCCGCCCGGGCGCGACATCTCGAAGACGGTCGGGTTACGGTACACGTACGGCCAGATTCGTTCGCGAGATCTCTCTCTCTCTCTCTCTCCCGACACTGTCGCTATCCGCCTCGGAAGTGTCAGGGTACGCTTCGTCGCTTCGCGAATCACTCGCGCGGTGATCGATAAAATCGTCCATTCTGCCTCGACGCGCCTCGAGATTCTCACGAGACCCTTTTTGTACCCTTCACTTCGGCTTCGCGACGGACGAGACGTGGATTTTCGAAAACGCAGTTCTCGATGGACGCGTGACATCATTTTCCGGGCCCACGGGCCTTCGGGCCGTTTGACAGATTCGGCGAGTATTTACACCACGCGAAAGGTCGCGGAGAAATCGTGTACGCGCGCGAGTATTCGCGCAACGGGCGATGTATATATACTCTTCTTGTCAAAAGCACAAAGTGTATCGAGAGAAGCTCTGCACGCGGCACACGTACCTGCAAGGTTTGCACCATTGGTTTTGCTGATCTAATCCGTACCTGGCGCGGCACTTCTTCATGTTGTTACCTAGAAAAGGGAAACGGCAACGGTTAATACGAAGTTTCTCGCGAGACCGCCGGCGGTCGCTACTATTTTCG